TGATGATGATGGCGATAATGATAATAATCCTTGCATTTGATACGGCGCCTTATCAGGCCTTACTTCCAAGCGCTTCACGGGACGTAGTGCGCAGTGGAGTGACTGTGTATTTTGTGGGCGAAACGCGGCAGTCAGTTGCGCACGGCAGCGTCCCCCACAAACAGCCGCCGTGGGGTGAGCGGCCGATTTATTTGGGGGGAATTGTTGGCCAGGACTTCAGGAAAGACAAACTCCCTTCTCTTTTCAAGCAAAGTCGTGGGATCTTTGACGTCCACCTGAACAGGCGGATTGGACCTCGAGGGACAGCACCTTGACAACGCGACACACCCTCAAGTGCCGCGTTGGAGCCTCCGATAAGACTTTATGTTTCCACGTCCCGCGGTGGGGCTCAGATCCACAACCTTCTGACTCAGAGGCGAGAGAGAGAGAGAGAGTGTAATTCTGTGTTGTTGTTGTTGCCGCTGAGTCCGAAGGTTGTGACGTCAGGACAAGTTGGAGAGATTCCTCCCTTCAGATGAGACGTTAAATCTGCCCATTCAGGCGGATGTCAAAGATCCCACTGTTTGAAAAGAGGAGAGTCTCCTAACCCACAAGGTACGCAGTCACTCCGCTTTACAGTATATCCTGAGAAGCGCTTTGAGACGTCTCATCCACCGTGATAGGGCGCTACGTCAAATGTAAGGGTTATTGTTGTTGTCCCCCAGATAAAAACTGGTCAGTCCGACATTCCAAAACTTCGACATTTAATATTCTTTCAATATCCGCGGCCTTTATTTCAGAGGGAATCTCGTAAACGGAAACAGAGAAGCTTTGGCGTTGTGTTTTAATTAATCTGCTGTTGAATACAATATTGACATTGCGGAGATGCTACTTAAGTCGGATAGTCATTACCCGAGATTCTCCTATTCTACCCGATGTGTTACCAGTAACGCAAGACAAATAACAACCTCTCCATCGACTAAAGGCTTCAATTAGCACTTGAAATAAGAAAGACCCCGTGTTACTCACTCAAGCGTTCCATTCATTCGTCAATAGCGTTCTCTGACATTGTGTTTATTGAGGCTGTCTTGATTTCAAGCAGATAGTTCCAGACATTTGCTTAGCAACTGCAGGAAGGGCTGCCTTCTGACCCTTAAAGATTGAAACGTATTCAAGCATTTTGATATAATAGTACTAATAATCCTTGCATTTCGTATATCTTATTACGTCTTCGTCTTCTTCTTCTTCTTCTTCTTCGAGAATAATAATCATTACAACTATAATCCTTGCATTTTAATAATTCTAATAATCGCTTCACAGAACATACTGCAAAGCGACTTGACCGTGTATTTTGTGGGCGAAACGCGGCAGCCGATTGCGCACAGCAGCGGCCCCCCCACAAACTGCCGTGGATTGAGCGACCAAATTATTTGTAAATTTTTTTTTAAGGGATTAAGAGATAATTATTATTATTGTCGGCTAACAATCCTACTTACTGCTGGTAAACAGAGGCGCGTGCGTGCGTGTGTGCGCGCGCGCGTGTGTGTGTGTAGAGTAAGTACCTGACCAAAAAAATAACCCCTGACCCGCCCGAGTATCGAACCCAGGTCCTCTCCCTTGCGAAGCGAGTGCTCTAATCACTGCAGGGACTCGGTGCTTTCACTGCAAAGGTCTGCGCTGTGGCCTCTCACACAATCAACAAGATTGATTCGGATGAAGATGACCTTCGGCTCACGTGATCTCATCCCTCCAGAAAACCCGCCCTCCCGTCCCCATCACAGCGTCGAGCTGTGTGTGTGTTTTTTTTTCCGCGGGTGTCCCAGTGTTTTGGCCTCAGCATCGTTTCCCGGCAAAAACTTTCCCACAAAACCTCGTCGATCCATTTTACGGTATATTGTGAAGCGCTTTGCGACGTCTCAACGACCCAAGGATTGGTATTATATTGGTTCCAAGTTCTGAGGTGGGCCTTGAACCCAAAACCTTCTGACTCGGAGAGCCGCGTAGAGCTCTGTGATTTTAAATACCACTGTCGTCCTCTAATGTCATTTTACGTAAAATAATACCCGGTTCCAGTAAATAATTCATCCCCACTCAAATCTTTCATTCATAACCGAGACAACTCGCCACATAGATCCACGGTATCGATTGGACTCTGTCTGGAAATGCTCGGAGACAAAGCACTGTGTAATACTTAAGTATCGAAGGACATCAATTAATTAATAATTAATTCATCAATCCACACCAAACAGAACCCCGGAACATAACAGCGCAATCCTGTGTTGCTCGTTCAAGGGTTCCATATGTTCGTCGTTAGGGTTCCCAGTACTGACGTTGGTTTATTGAGGTTGAGTTGGTTCAAGCAGATAGTTTCAGGCATTTGCTTAGCGACTGCAGGAAGTGCTGCCTTCTGACCGACCCTTAAGGGTTGAAACGTATTCAAGCCTTTTGATATAATACCAATAATAATCCTTGCGCTAGACTCAGCGCCCGATCACGCCTTCAAGGCGTCTCAAAGCACTTTGCGGGACGGGCTGTAAAGTGAATTGACCGTGTGTTTTTTTGCGGGCGTGGGGTTGAGCGATCACATTGTCGTTAGCCCCGTGCGGGAGAGGAGCTGGAACTTCGGAGGTGGAGCGAGCGAGAGCCTTCGACAGCCGCGCTCTCCGCTCCCGTTCCGGGGTTCGCCCAATTACGTGCGGAGCGCAGGAATGGAACAGCCGGTCACCTTCGGTGGCGTGAGGACAGCCCTTGGTTTTCCAGACTGACACTGTAATACGAGGGGGTGGGGGGGGGGATTGTCAGGTTGGAGACAAAGACACACCTTGTGCCTCGAGGTTCTCCGGCATCACGCCAAGGGGTGTTGAAACCTGGGAACGATTCTGTATGGAGGGTAAGCGGGGGGAACGTCCCCTCAATGGGGAGAGGGAGAGAGTTTCATTCCAACAATCCATCTCTGGGAATTTCCAGGTGTAGGTGGGAGGCGGGGAATTCTCAGTTGGGTTTGGAGACCCTTAAGCAACGGCGATGGGTTCTCGCAGTGTCAGACACTCCGGTTGGACCAGAAAAAAACCCCCACACAATCGTGTGCCAACATCACCCTCTACGGTCACATCTTGGGACTGTTCTCTGACGCAAACAACGCCATCAGCTGAACACTCCAGTTCAGCACTGGATGAGACATCAAACGTCCTTTGGATGAGACGTTACAACAAGGTCTGTGCCCGTTAACCCCAACCCTAACCCTCGAAGATCCCATTGCCAACGTCCTTCTTCTTCATTTCAGGATTGGAGAATCTCGTACTACTTTCCCTGATACATAATACATCATAATAATAATCCTTGCATTTGACACAGCGCCGTATCACGCCTTCGAGACGTTCTCAAAGCGTTTCGCAGGATAGGCTGTAAAGTGAATGGACTGTGGGTTTTGCAGGCGAAGCACGGCAGCCAATTGCGCACAACAGCGTCCCCGCAAACAGCCGAGGGGTAGAGTGACTGATTTATTCTGCTTCAAAGGCGGTAAGTGTGACATGACGTGTGGCGGAGGGCTCCCTTCACTCTCCAGGTGATCAGACGTTTCTCGCCCCCACCCCCCCCACCCCCCCCTTTGCCCATCACTCGATACTCGTTAATGCCATTCGCTGGAGACAACAGGTCTCATTCATTTGCCGAACTGCCAATGTGCACCCAGTGGGATCAATGACTGGAAAGCTTCCCTGGCACTCAGCGGTCAATTATTCCTGCATTACTTTCATCAGTGTAACATATAGACCCCCCCCCCCCCCACCCCCGGCTCCCCCGGTCCCCGCGCTCCCACCCCATGCGATTCAGTTTCAAACATAATTTCCCATTAGATAATTGGATTTGCTTCCTGGAAGCAAAGATTGAAAGGATAACAAAGCAGAGCTTTAAGTCGAGTGGCCAACGAAAACGCACTCGTACACACAGAGAGACACAAGCACACGCACACACACACACACATGTACAAACACACACACACATACACACACACATACATACCAAAAACATACATACAGATACATACACACGCGCGCACGAACACACACACATATATACAAACACACGCGGATACGTACAAACCCACAGAATACAAATACAAACTGACACATACACACATACACACGCACACGCACACACACACTCTCGACAACACACACAAAGACACGCGCGGACACAGACGCACACGAAACCGGGGACAAAGGCCAAGACACGTAAGGACAGACACAATCAAAGGCTTAAAAAAAAATCTTCCAAAGGGGCAGAGCACATCAATGGAGTATCGCACAGTCACGTTGAGGTCGCCTGGAGCAGTAAAATAGGAACCCGGTTGTCAGTCGATTGGCCGATGGCTTTTCCAGAGGGTAATAATCCCTTCAAAAAAAAGTTTGGTCACTCAACCCGCGGCTGTTGGTGGGGACACTGCTGTGCGCAATCGGCTGTTCCCGCTTCGCCCACAAAATATACAGTCAATTCACTTTACAATATGTGAAGCGCTGTGAGGCGTCTCGAAGACGTGATCAGGCGCTGTATCAAATGCCAGGATTATTATTGTGATGATTATGGTGATCACTGCGATTATTATAATTATTATTGTGATTATTGTAGTTACTATTATGATTATTATTGTGATTATTGTAGTTACTATTATGATTATTATGATGAGGATTATTGTGATTATTGTATTATTGTTGTGATTGTTGTAGTTATTATTATTGTTGTGACTGTTGTAGTTATTATTATCGTTGTGATTGTAGTTTTTCTGATGATTATTGTGATTATTGTATTATTATTGATTATCATTGTGATCGTTGTTATTATTGATGATCATTGGGACTCTTGACGTCACAAGGAGTGTGGGGGGGGGCGGGGCTCCCTTGCCAGCACGTGACATCACATCCGGTCTGCCAACCCGCTTCAGCGGCGCCACCGCGCACGCGCCGCTGGGGCGGAGGGGGGGGCGGGGCAACGCCTTTAAAAGCGGGCGGGGCGCGCATGCGCACCCTCTTCCCTCCCTGACGGTTGGCGGCGAAGGCGGCGGCGCCGAGAGAGAGAGAGAGAGGCGAGAGGTGAAAAGCGGCGCAATCCGTCGCCATCCTCCGCCCAGCGCGCGACCGCGGACCCGGGAGGCGTTCGCCCGAGCGCGGGGTGTTCTTCCAGAGAGAGGGGGGGGGCGGCGGCGGCGATCGGGCGTTGGTTCTTCGGTTAAAAAGCGGCCGAGGCTTCTGACGGGGCGGCGGCGCCTGTAGGCCCCGGAGAGGGTCACGTGACGCGGAAGCCCCTCCCCCTCCCCTCCCCCCCACACACACACACACAGTCTGAGGTCCTCCTCAGACCATCACTGAAGAGGATTGTAACTGAAGAGGATTTTTGTTGTTGTTGTTGTTGTTCACTTCTCCCTCTCTCTCCCTCTCTCTCTCTCTCTCTCTCCTCTGTCGCTGCTCTTTTCAACCTTCTCACGACCCCCCCCCCCCCGACCCCGGGGGTGGTGGAGGGCTGTGTGTGTGGGTGGGGGGGGGGGTGTTGGGGGGGTTCGAGTTTGCATTACTTATTTTTCCGCGGAGACGGTGGGGAGTAAGAAAAAAAACCCCGCACATCGCCTCTCTGACGATCGTCTCCTCTCTCTCTCTCTCTCTCTCTCAAGGCGCGGTTTGGTCGGGCGGTGCGCGGGGTGTGGGGGGGAAGACACCGGCCGAGGCCGTCGCTTTGTCTCTCGCGCTCTCTGCGCGCGAAAGGCGTGTGTGTGTGTGTGTGCGTTATAATAATAATAATGACTTGCATTGGATGCAGCGCCTTGTCACGTCTCAAGAGTCTCTCTCTCTCTGTCTCTCTCTCGAGGCGTCTCGAAGCGCTCCACGGGATAGGCTGGAAAGCGAGTCGATTGACTGTATTTTGGCGAGGAGTGGGGGTGGGGGGGGGAGCGAAATTAACTCTCGGGGGTGTCTGCGTTTCCTTTTCTCCCCCCCTGTAAGATTTCAGGGGCTTTTTTTTAAACAAAGGGAGAAACTAGCGTTGCGGCGGAGCGCGGCCGCCGGTCGGTGTAAGGGTCGGTGGCCGCGCGCTGTCCAGGCCGTCGGCCAACAATCCAATCCCTTGCCCTCCCCTCCCCCCCTCCCGCCGCCCCCCACCACCACCGCCCCAAAGAAAATTGGTCCTTCGTTCCATGGCGGTTTGTGGGACGTTGCAAATCCGCTGCCGCGTTCGCCCACAAAGCAGTAGCTCCGCTTTACGGTAAATCCTTTGAGGAGCTTCGGGGCGGACGTGAAAGTCCGCTGTACCGAATTCAAAGATTACTACAGAGCACTTTTCAGGTTAACCAACTTTTTTTTCTGTTTCCTGACCTATTTCGACCCGTCTTCATTCCCGTTGCAGGTCCCCAAGTTTTGAAAGGAGCGGATGGTTTGCTCGTTGCCCTGAAGCATCTCACCGAGCCACGATGGGCGCCTTGAGACGACGCTTTCTCGCGAGGTGGCAGTGTTGGGTTAATGAGGCCCTGTGCTCGTACGCTGACGTTGTTGAATCCGACATGTTGAGAAAGAAGCACGTTCAGCAGGTACAGGTTTCACCGCGTTGGTGTGGTTTTTTAAAAAAAAAGTTTTTTTTTTGATGTCTTATAGTGTGTTTTTGCAATCGTAGAATCCCAGAATGTTACAGCACAGAAGAGGCCATTCGGTCCGTGGTTCCCTAAACTTTGGTGCTCATCAATGGTTATAATAAGAGGGGAACGTTTGGGGGTTTGAACCGCTAGTATTTAGAGTTTGTTGCCAAAGTGACTTACAGAGACTTGCCAATTGTTAAGGGCCGTGTGCTCTGGGGCGCTATCCTGCGTGAGGGGCGCTATGTAAATGCAAGTTCTTATCACTTCGCCCTCTGCAAGTCGTGTCAGCAAGGCAGGTCTGTCTGTGATTGTGCCTCTTCCTGAGTACTTGCTAGATTGACGTGGGAGATATTTGAGGCTTTGTTCACTCCTCTTAAGGAACAAAGGTTAGGAAGTCTCGCACAGTTAATCTGTTCATCGATGTTATTGGTCAGCACACAGACCGGGTTTGTTAATGTACCGGTTCGGTTGCCTTTTTGTTGCAGAATGGCGGTATTTGGTGAAGCGGGGCCTTGGCTCTCTCGTGCCTCTTTGCTTTCTTCACGAGGAGCTCACAGCACGCAGGTGGGTTCGTGCTTTCTTTTCGGTGTTAGTTAAGGTTTTTACTTTTCTCCTACCTTTGTGTAATCTTTTCACTCGGTACAAAGTTGGGGTGGGGGCTAAGTAGCTATTGGTTCTCAGTGTGGTGGGTATGTTGCATCTTAACCTGTCAGTCTTGAGTTTGGCGGTAGATTCGGTGGCAGGAATTATGTTGGGCTGTTGCCAGTGGTTATTTGCTACTACCAATTTAAAGTGGCTCCTTAAGAAATATAATGGGGCCCAACCGATAAGGTAATGCAGCTCCAACAAACAACAGATTTCACTTGTACAGCGTCTGTCACTTGGGGAGGACGTCCCAAGGCGCTGGACAGACAAGGCGCTGCACCCGAGCTGGAGGGTAGGATGGTGGGAAGATAATCAAAGGAGCGATCAAAGAGGAAGGGTCCAGGAGGAGCTGAGGGCGAGGCGGAGGGGCTCTGGGATGTAGTTGGCCAGATTTATCACGTGCAAGTCTTTACAGCAAGTCTCAGTCAGCTCATGGCTGTGCCTTTCCTGGTACTTGCTAGATTGTTGTTGATTGTTGTTTGAGACCTTGCTTTAACTTCCCGCAAAGCAAGGTTATAGAAACTTCACACATTTATCTTGTAACAAGAGGGGCATCATCTTAACGTGAGTGCTCGGCTGGTCAGCAGTGAAAGCAGGAAATGTCTCACGAGGTGTGGGGGGAGAAAGACAAAGAAAAAAACGTAAGGACTTCGAGAACAAGTGACTAACTTGTTTCTTATTCCGTTTCAGAACCTCTGCCCTAAGATACTCCGATCTCAACGAAAACGTGAACGGAACCCGACACAGGGGATTGTTCTAAATAAAACCTTCCGCGCCCCCTCCCCCTCGGTGTTGGGGAGTGCCTGGTGTCACTCGGTAAATCCCAGCGTGTGTTCGGTTCACCATTGCAGCTATTTATTGATGGCTCTTCTGCTCCTCACCCTGTAAACTGAAACCACGTAGGCGTAAATTGGTGGGGGGGGTTCTGCGTCGCAAGCGAGAGGACCTGGGTTCGATTCCCAGAGTGGCAAAATGTACTCCACACGCTTCTGTTTACCGGGCAGTAAGCCGGAACCCGGTTGTTAGTCGCTTTTCCGGGGGTAGAATATCCCTTCAAAAAAAAAGAATCCTAATAAATCCGCGACTATTTGTGGGGCACTGCTGTGTGCAATTGCCAATCCCGCATTTCTCTCACAAAATATACTTTACAGTATTCTGTGACGTCTCAGAAGAGGTGATAAGGCGCTATATCAGATAGTTACTGAAAGGACGGGAGGAACAGCCCCAATGTCCTGACATTAAATGCGACCCGCAAGACCTGGGTTTATGCCATCGGGAGTAAGTGATGCCAATATTATAATAAATATATACGAGGAGAGACTGGCAACACCCAACAGGACACCTGAGCACTATTAAGAAAAAAAACAAGACTGACAAACTGATCGCAAAACACTCTTTAGTGTTTGTTGTAACATTTCTATTGTGTAAATCCATGTGGACAAAGTGTACGGTTTTCAAACAATATTTTTTGTTCGAAATAAATATCAATGAATCTTTAGCGTCGTGCAGTATTGTCGAAAGATTACGAGATGTTAGAAATGGTCGTTGGAAGAACTGACCTAAAGGCTCCCAATCTTACGGCGGTCAACTCGAGACGCGGAGACCGTGGGAGTTGGTGAGGAGCAGATGCGACACTGGTCAACGCTTAATGATCACCAAAAATTAGGTTCTCCCACGAAGTACACAGTCAATTTACTTCACGGTATATTCGAGCCGTAAAGAGCTCTTCCAAATGCAATGATTATTATTAAGTTACCAGCGCGTCGGGATCTCCCAAAGTCCCCTCACCTTCAATACCCCCCCACCCCGTTCGATTGCGCCTTCAATCAACTCCCACACCCACTGATCCCAACCACCAGCTCAGCGGGACCCCCTGACTAGCGCCTCGGGACGTCCTGATGTGAAGGGCGCTATGTGCAGATATAATTTGTTGTTGAAGTGCTTTGCGATGTCCTGACGTGGAAGGGCGCTGTGCTACGCGCGGAGATTATTTCGTCCGTTATCAACAGCCCTTGGGACCGACGGTCGCGCCGAGTGAGCACGTCTCCTTGCTCCGCGCGCCTCCCTTCGTTAGCCCAGAGAGTTGGTAGGTTGGTCGGTTGGTTCGCTGTTCGGGGAATGGCGGATCGCTTTCCGAGGCCATAGTTGGGTAAATAATAATAATAATAATTTGGGGCGCTCCGTGCACAACTGGCTGCCGTGTTCCTGCCCACAGAATACGCAGTCGATTCCCTTCAGAGTATGTTCTGCGTACGTCTCGAGAGAGAGAGAGAGCTTCGCAAACCTGTCGGGTTTGTCAATAATAATTAATAATAATAATAATAATAATAACGCTGGCGTCTCCGAGAGCCTTCTCAAAGCCCTTCGCGGGACACTCCGTAAAGTGAATCGACTGTGTGTTTTGAGGCACGTGGTTCAGACAGGATTGCAAAGGGGAGGAGGAGGAGGGGGGATGGGGGGAGGAGGAGGGGGATGGGGGGGAGGAGGCAGTGCGGCCGACCGGCTGTTGTTTGCAGTACTTGGCAGTAGCCGCTTGCCATACAGGAGCTGCTTTTCACGTCACGAAGGGAGGAGGGCTGATCCTCAGCGCAGACGCGGTGGCCGAGAGCATCCGGACAGAGGTGTCGCCCGGTGAGCTGAGCTGAGCTGAGGGAGGGGTCGGTGGTCCCCTCCGGTCCCTCCGCAGAGTGGCCACGTTGCGTTCGTGCCGCTGCTGTGATTGCACGTTATTAAATATAATAATTAATGAATACTGTCTGCGTTCGACCCGGTGTCCTCATCCCGCCATCGGGACGTCTCCCAAGCGCTTGGCAGGACACGTTCCCCCCCACCACCCCACCCCCCCCCCCCCCCACCACACACACACACATACACACATACACACAATTTATCGAACCGTTTATTACCCCCCGGAAAAGCCATCGGTCAATCGATTAACAATGTGTGTGTGTGTCGGGGGGGGGGGGTGCGGTACGCTGCTGTGCGCAATTGGCTGCCGCGTTTCGCCCACACTATATACACAGTCACTACACTCTACAGTATGTCCTGACGTGATAAGGCGCCGAATCAAACGCAAGGATTATTATTAATATGAAGATTAAATTGTAACAGTGATTGAAACGCGACGTGTTGTAACGATGCAATGTGACTCCCCACCTCCCACCCCCCCCACTCCCCCACCCCCCACCCCCCCCCCACCCACAAAAAAAACATCCACAGGAATCCCAGGAAATGAAGAGGGTGAAAATAATCTTCGGTCACTTGGCTTCGGGCTCCGGGCCGGAGCGGAGTGCCTGCCGAGCCGGGCAGCCCGACAGCCCCCAGGACGTGGTGGTGGTACACGGCTTGAGGACACCCATAGGGAGAGCCAAGCGAGGGTGCTTCAAGGTGAATCCGGGGCACAGCGCGGAGGGCAGGAGGGAGACAGAGGGCTCTGCGTGGTGTGTGGTGACGTGGCCGACATGGGGGTCACTGACCCCCTCTTGTGTGTTTGTGTGTGTGTGTGCTTGTATATATGTGCGTGTGTGTGTGCGCGCTTGTATATGTGTGTGTGTGTGACCTTGTACATATGTGTGTGCGTGTGTGCTTGTATATATGTGCGTGTGTGTGTGCGCGCTTGTATATGTGTGTGTGTGTGACCTTGTATATATGTGTGTGCGTGTGTGCTTGTATATATGTGCGTGTGTGTGTGCGCGCTTGTATATGTGTGTGTGTACTTGTATATATGTGTGTGCGTGTGTGCTTGTATATATGTGTGTGCGCGTGCGCTTGTATATATGTGTATGTGCTTGTGTATGTGTGTGTGTGTGCACATGTTTGTGTGTGTGTGTATATATATGCGTCTTATCACGCCTTCGAGACGTCTCAAAGCGCTTCACGGAATATACCTTAAAGTGTAGTGACTACGTATTTTGTGGGCGAAACGCAGCAGGCCATTTGCGCACAGCAACGACGTCCCCAGAAACAGTCGAGTGACTCAGTGACCAAATTAATATCATTATTATTATTATTTTTAAGGGATTTTTTTTTTACTCCGGAAATCCGCCTGCTTGTCGTCCTTCCCGACTCTTCCCCCCACCCCCACCCCCCACCCCCAGCGAGCCGCAGATCACTCAGCACCCCGCAGCCCGTGTCCTCCCCCTTCACACCCCCAGCCCTCGCCCTCGCCCGGCTCCGCTGTCTCCCCAACCACAGAATACACAGTCGATTCCACGTGTCAGGGAGTTCCGTTAAGCGCTTTGAGACGTTCTCGAAGGTGTGACAAGGCGCCGTATCAAATGCAAGGATTATTATTATTATTATTATTATGGTTCACGCACACGCGCACGCACACGCACACACACACACACAGATCTTGCTGCCGGGACGGAGGGTGACCGGGTCTCGTTTCATTGCTGTAGGGCACTACACCCGATGAGCTGTTGGCCACTGTCATGGCAGCGGTACTGAGAGATGTCAACCTGAGCCCACACCACCTCGGCGACATCTGTGTTGGTAACTGTGCTGCGTGTCTACGGACTGAGCCTGTATTGATGATTGGGGGGGAGGAACGGCGGGGGGCGGGTGGGGGGGAAGGAATCATTAGTGAAGACGCCAACGGGCAGCTTACGCGGAAACTTCTCGTGGTGTCTGTGTAGCGAACAGCGTACAAACTGTCAAGTGAATCACTGTGGAGTGCGGAGATTTCGTAAAGGATTTTTTTTTTTCCGGGGTGAAAAGACAAGAATCCCTTTAAAAATATTATTAATAGCAATAAGGTCACTCAATCCTCGACTGTTTGCGGGAACGCCTCCGCGCGCAATTGGTTGCCCCGTTTCGCCCACAAAAATACAACACAGTCTCAAAGCGCTTTGCGGCGTATGCGTTAAGCGTAGTGACTGTATGTTTTTGCGGGCGGCCAACTGCGGTGAGATTATAACACCCGGCCCACGCTACGGAAATCGCCGATAATTCATCGCCTCTATTGAAACCTCCCGCTTGACCTTCTCCGCTCTCTGGGGGAAACAATCCCGAACCTCCGCGGTTTCAGCCAAGTGCAGCCGCCAAATGTTAAGCGGACCTCTTGCCTTTCCGTAGGGAACGTGCTGCAGCCTGGAGCGGGAGCTTTCATGGCGAGAGTGGCTCAGTTTCTCAGGTATTTATCAGCGAGAGCGTGAGAGAGAGAGAGAGCGTGAGAGAGAGCGTGAGAGAGAGCGAGAGCGAGAGAGAGAGCGCATTCCATCCCGACAATGATCTATCTCTGGGATTTTCCGGCTCGGAATCCACAGCTCGGTTTGGATATTTTTAAGCAACGGCGATGGGTTTCTCCGTGCGTCAGACACGAACCCACCCCCACCCCCCCCACCCCCCGAAAAAGAAATATATACGTTTCTCTCTTCTCAGTGGCATTCCAGAGACTGTCCCCCTCAGCTGCGTGAACAGGCAATGCTCATCCGGGTTACAGGCCTTCATCAACATAGCAGGTGAGTGGCTGTGTGCGTGTGTGGGGTGGGGTGGGGTGGGGGGAGCAGTGAGGCCTGACCCAGCGCCTTATCACGTCACAAAGCGCTGCACAGGATACGCCGTGAAGCGTAGTGACTGTGTATTTTGTGGGCGAAAGGCGGCGGCCGATTGCGTGTCCCCCACAAACAGCCGTGACCAGATTATTCAGTATTATTATTATTATTATCTTTTTTGGAGGAATTGGGCTCCACCACCAACAAATTATTATTATTATTATTATTTTTCGGGGTGGGGGAGGGATTATTACCCCCGGAAAACCGATCCTACTTCCTGCTGGGCAAACAGAGGCGTGTGTGTGTGCGTGTGCGCGTGTGCGCGGAGTGAGGAAGCTCGCCGAAGAATTGAACCCGGATCCTCTCGCTTGCTAATGGGCTCACCCTGGGGGAGGGGGAGGGTGGGGGGGGATCTGATGTGCAGTGCAGTCACTAAGTGGGTGGGAGACCTGAACGTTGAATGGGGGAGAGGGGGGGAGGAGAGAGGAGCGGGTGTGGAGTCAGTGAGAGGTGACCTGGGCGGACAGTGAGGGAGGGAGTGATGTGCGCTGGTGGGGAAGTGGGGGTTCAGTGTGTTTGGTGGGGGCGTGGGTTGATCTCGGGGTGGTAACGGGGGGGGTGGGGGGTGGTAATTAAATTCACACAGCTCCTCGCTCCATTTCAGGAGGTATTAGGAACGGGTCCTATGATCTCGGACTGGCCTGTGGGTAAGTAAGTCAAGAACTATAAGCAACGCTTTGGAAGCACAATCTGGTTCCACATCCTATTATATCCCTTCTTCTCCCCTTCCCCCCCACCCAACACACCCCACCCCACCCCCGTAGACAACTGCTGATGCCCCCACAAACAGCCACGGGGTGAGTGACCAATGTTATCTGGCGAATTGTCAACCAGAGAGAAGGAACTTCCTTGAATTTAACGTCCACCTCAATGGACATAGTCCTCCCTCTGCCTTGCTCCCCTCCCTCCCCCCTTTTCGGGTCGCGCCTGAAGACCTTTCTCTTCGATGGTACTTACAGTCACCTCTCCCTCCTCCCACCACCCCACTCCCCCCCCCGCAGCTCGGTGTCAGGCTCCGCTCGACTGGCCCCGGCCTCCTGTTTACCCCCGAATCTCTGGAACTCTCTCCCCCAATCCCTCCGCCTCGTCCCTCCCTCTCAGACTCGGACGCCCTGAGCCGCTCTGGGACGCCACACAGCACAGGGGTGGTTGGTGGGGGGGGGGGAGGGAGGCCGCGGTGACTGATGTCGGGTTGTGTTGTAGGGTCGAGAGCATGAGCCTCCGTAGCGCAGGTGATCCTTCCAGCCTCGGGGACGTCAGTGACCGGATGATGGAGCACGAGAAAGCCAGGCAGTGTCTCATCCCCATGGGGTAACGCCCTCTCTGTCAGGGGTCCTGGGTTTTACGGGTGGGAGGGGGAAATAATGATAATAATAATAATAAAATAATCCTTGCATTTGAAGCAACGCCTCATCACATCTTCGAGACGTCTCGAAGCTCTTCGAGGGATACGCTGTCACGTGTAGTGACCGTGCGTCTTGTGCGCAAAATGTATAATCGTGTGACAGTTAGCCCGAGGACTGCAAACCGGGGTGGTGTGGGTGAAGGGGGCGGGGGGCGTTGGTGTGGGAGAAGCGAGAGTGAGGGGTGGGGGGGGGAATGTGGGGGAAGGGGGCGGGGAGCGAAGGAGGAGGTGGGGGTGTGAGCGGGGGAGAGGGGTCTGGGGGGTCTGAGGGAGGAGTGGGGTGTCTCAGACTCTGACCTGGTCCTACCCCCCCCCCTCTCTCTCTCTTTCTCTCACGCAGGTTGACCTCGGAGAATGTGGCCGAACAGTTTGGAATTTCCAGGGAACGTCAAGACGCCTTCGCTCTGACTTCCCACCAGAAGTAAACATCTCGGGATCGGAATCTCTCGGGAATGGGGTCGGCAACAGGAAACGGGGGTGGGGTTGAGGAAGGGGGGAGAAGGTTATCACAAAAGAAGGAACCTCCTTCAGACTGTGTGGAAACCGCCCCCACCCCCAGAGGATAGAGTTCAAGATTCTCGTCCTTGCCCTCAAAGCCTTCCAAGGCCTTGTTCCTCTGTGACCCACTGACCCCATATCAACCTGTCCACCTCCCCCCCCCAACCCCCCGCCCCCACACCCGCTCTCATACACCATCTACACATCTACCCCAACTTTCTCCGTCGATCTGTCTGGGTCTCTTTCTCTGTCTCACCGTGTGTGACTCTCTTCTCTCTCACACTCTCTACCTCTTGATCTCTTCGCCCGCCCCCCCTGCTCCCCCCCCCACCCGACCTCTCTCGTTAGACGGTCCAACGTTGGGGAGGAGAGAAGAGTTGACAGGATTTTTGTTTTGGATTAAACCCAGGGCAGCTCGTGCCCAGAAGGAGGGCCTGTTTGAGGTGGAGATGGTTCCGGTGACCACCGTTGTCTCGGGCAAGACGGGTAGTTCCCAGCCCCTCACCGTGACCCGGGACGAGGGGGTGAGGCCTAGCACCTCGCTGGAGGGGCTCCGCAAACTGGCGCCCGCGTTCAAGGAGAACGGCACGACCACCGCAGGTCTGGCACTGACCACCCACACTCCTCTCACGTGCAGAGCCCTTGGGATGTCCTCCCCACATTTGAGTGCAAAAGCAAGGAAGTTCCTCTAAGCCTCTATAAGTCAGTGGTTGGGTCTCAGCTGGGGTATTGTGTCCAATTCTGGGCACCATACTTTAGGAAGGATGTCAAGGCCTTGTATAGGGTGATTTAGAAGATTTACCTGAATGGTACCAGGGATGAGGAACTTTAGTTACGTGGCGAGACTGGAGAAACTGGGATGGTTCTCCTCAGAGCAGAGAAGGTTAAGGAGAGATTTAATAGAGGCGTTCAAAATTATGAGGGGTTTTGATAAAGAGTAGATGGGGAGAAACTGTTTCCGCTGGCAGATGGGTCGGTAACCAGGGGACATAGATTTAAGATAATTGGCAAAAGAATTAGAGGAGATGAGGGGAATGTTTTTTTTACACAGTGTTGTTATGGTTTGGAATGCAGTGCCTGAAAGGGGGGGGGGGGGGGGGAACGATCAATATCAACTCTCAAAAGGTACTTGAAAAGGAAAATTGAGAGCTCCCAAAGCGCAGAGGTTAGAGCCCTCGCCTCGCAAGCGAGAGGACCCGGGTTCGACTCCCGGGCGGGGCGAAATGTTGGCCAAGTTTCCTTACTCCAGGCTCGTGCCTCTGCTTTCCCAGCAGTAACCTGCGAACCAAGGAAACTTGCCTAAGGTTTGGCCCCGTCCCGGAATCGAACCCGGGTCCTCTCGCTTGCGAGGCGAGGAGCTCTAAGCGCTGAGCCGCAGGTCTGACCTGGCCGCTAAGCGCTGTGTTTTTGACACTCTGAAGGAAACTCAAGCCAAGTGAGCGATGGGGCAGCTGCGGTGCTGGTCGCCCAACGTAGCAAGGCTGTGGAGTTGGGGCTGCCGGTGTTGGGGGTTCTCCGCTCCTACGCCGTGGTGGGAGTTCCGCCGGACATCATGGGAGTCGGACCGGCTTACGCCATCCCAGCAGCGCTGGAGAAAGCGGGTAAGATGGGGCTCGCTCTCCTTCTAGCACCAATCCGTGGAGCCCTGAGGCTCAGCGGTTAGAGCGCTCTCGCCTCGCAAGCGAGAGGACCCGGGTTCGATTCCCGGCCGGGCTGGTCAGGGCGAAACCTTGGGTAAGTTTCCTTACTCTGCGCGCACACACACATGCGCACACATACACACACACACACACACGCACACACACACACACACACCCGTGTTTGCCCAGCAGTAAGTAAGAACCCGGGTTGCTGGTCGATTGGCTGATCGTTTTTCCGGGGGTAATAATCCCTTTATAAAATTAATAATAATATTACTAATAAATTGGACACTGCAATCCACGGCTGTTTGTGGGGGACGTCGCTGCGCGCAATTGGCTGCCGCGTTTCGCCCACAAAACACACAGTCACTGCACTGTACAAGTGCATCCCGTGAAGCGCTTTGAGACGTCTCGAAGACGTGATGAGGCGCTGTATCAAATGCGAGGATTATTACTATGATGATTGTTATTACTGCCCTCTTCCCCTGCCAAGAGGGAACTGACAGACACCGAGTCAGGAAGCCCTAAGGGCTCTGCGACTCTAACCTGCGTGAGGGGCGTTATACACAGAGTGACCAAAAAAAGGCGCCGTACCATTACAATGTCGAATAAGTCTTAAAGAAACGATGATTTTTTTTTGTTTCTTTTAGGTATTCGGGTCGATATCAGGACTTTTTGGTCGCCCTGTAAATGCAAGTTGTTGTAGTTTTCCCTACGCGTTTAAGGAAGGGGTTTAAGACTCGAAAAGGGATCGATAAACAGGTCGTTTCGAACGGAACTAACTGTTTTTTTGGCTCCCGTTTCCTCCAACTCCAGGTCTGACCGTAGATGACATTGAGGTGTTTGAAATAAATGAGGCTTTTGCCAGCCAGGTAAGAAGAGGCTTTATACAAGGCGCTGCTTGATTAGAAAAGACGCACGGGATTAGTATTTACTCACCGTGCTGTTGTGTTTGCCCCCACCCTCTGGAACTCCGTCCGACATTCCCTTCACCTCGTCCCCCTTCCCTTGCCTCCAAGGGTCTCCTCTTCGACCGTCACCCTCCTACCCTCTCTCCCCTCCCCGATCCCAAACCACCTCCCCCCCCCCACCCCACCCCCCACCCCCCCCGACCTCCGCTAGGATAGTCATCAGTTTTGCTATCTGAAATCCGACAAGTGGGTTGGAGCTCTCACTAGCCGGACGGCAGGTATAATAATAATAATAATAACACTTGCATTTGATATGGCACCTTATCACGTCTTCAAGACGTCTCAAAGCGCTTCACAGGACCCACTGTAAAGTGAATTGACGGTGTCTTGTGACCTCCGTGGCTTCCTCCTTCTCGCAGGCTCTGTATTGTGTTGAGAAACTGAACATTCCTCTGGAGAAAGTGAACCCTAACGGTGGAGCCATCGCCCTGGGACATCCCCTGGGCTGTACAGGAGCGAGGCAGATCATCACCCTGCTGAATGAACTCAAACGCAGGGGCAAGAGGTCAGTGAGTGGCTCCGGAAATAATATTAGCGCCCCTAATCTCTGGAACTCTTTCCCTCGACTAACTCCCGTTTCCTCCCGTCTTCGAGTCAGCCTTAAAACCTAAACTAACTCTGGAACGCTCTTCCTCAATCCCTCCGCCTCGCCTGCCCCTTCCCGCCGCCATCTTCAGAAGACCTTCCTCTTCGGACCGGGCTTACGGTCACCTCCCCTTCCCCCCCCCCCCCCCCACCTCCGCCACTGTCAAGCGCTCTGGGGCACTCCCTGTGTGGGGTTTGGGTGGGGGGGGGGCGCTGTGTAAACACAAGTTGTTGTTGGTTCATGACTTGTGGTGTGTCTGTGTGTGTGTGTTGGATTTCAGAGCTTATGGAGTGGTGTCGATGTGTATCGGGACGGGGATGGGAGCTGCAGCCGTCTTTGAATACCCAGGACACTGAAAAGGAATAAGCCCAAGGCCAGTGAGGGGGGAAAAGAGGGTGTCCCCAAAAGAGTTAACATACTAACTTTCAAAGGTTAAGGGAATTGGACAACGGTTTCAAAAAGGAAAACCTTGCAGGGCTATGGGGTAAGAGCGGGGGAGTGGGGACTAGTTGGGGAAAGAGCGGGAGAGTGGGGACTAGTTGGGGTAAGAGCGGGAGAGTGGGGACTAGTTGGGGTAAGAGCGGGGGAGTGGGGACTAGTTGGGGTAAGAGCGGGAGAGTGGGGACTAGTTGGGGTAAGAGCGGGGGAGTGGGGGACTAGTTGGGGAAAGAGCGGGAGAGTGGGGACTAGTTGGGGTAAGAGTGGGGGAGTGGGACTCCCCCGTTGGTAGCTCTTACGAAGAGTCGGCACAGGCACGATGGGCCGAATGGCCTCCTTCTGTGCTGTAAGGTTCTATGTTTCTATAACACTGGATCCCTCCGAATTGTCCCCTTCAGCCACTACCCCCCGAAACTATCTCACTCAATCCCTCCGCTTTACCCCCTCCCTCTCTCCCCACTGTCATATCCCGTCTGAAGACCTTTTTGATTGTGCTTCCGGTCACCAACCCCCCTCCGTCTCCCCCTGGATTTGATCTCATCCTCTCCGGAACCCCCACCCCACCCAACCCCACCGTCCCGTTCCCCCCACCAACCCCACCAACCCCACCCCCATCACAGCATCCACAACTGCTGTTCAGACAAGTGTCCTTTTTAACCTGTCCCAGTCGTTAATTACCCTCTGGGTAAAATAAATACTTTCCTGGTTTCTGTCCTGAACAAAGAAGGCCTTTCAGCCATTTTGATGATAATAATAATAGTAATAATCTTTGTAACTGATGTAGTGAATTGACTGTATGTTTTTGAAGGAGACCCCTCAGCCTGGGTGAGCTCACGTTGCCTTTCCTGTGCCCCCTGCGGTGTCCTGCGGGTTCTGCTGTGTTAAGATTTTGGAAATATTAATGCGATTTTAATATAGAAACGGAGATTTTTTTTAAAAAGGAGCATCAATCATGAAGTTCATAATAATAAATAATTAATAATAATACTAATAATCCTTGGATTTAGTATCTCAAAGCGCTTCACAGAATATACCGTGAAGCGAATCGACTGTGTGGTGTGTGGGCGAAACGCGGCAGCCAATCGCGCACAGCAGCGTTCCCCCACAAACAGCCGTGGATTGAGCGACCAAATTGATAATAATGATAATCCTGGCGTTTGATTACAGAGCCTTGTCGTGAAGTTGAGATGTCACAAAGTGCTTCACAGAACGTACTGTATATTTTGTGGACCATAATTATTAATATTTTTCGGAGGGTGTAATACCCCTGGACAGCGATCCTCCAGTTGACTAACCACCTGCTGACTAGGTTCCCACTTACCGCTTGGCACACAGAGGCGTGTGCGCGCGGGTGCGCGTGTGGAGTAAGGAAAACCCTGTCCAAGGTTTTTGCCCTGGCGGCCGGGAATCGAACCCGGGTCCTCTCGCCCGCCCGCTCGCTCGCTGGGCGTGTTCTGTCAGCTTCTGTAAGAGGTGGAAACGCTCGGTAGGGCCGGGCTGAGAATTTATAAATAAAATACGAGAGGTCTAACGTTTCAAAACTTTATTCCCCAGTCTGATATCTGTGTAGCTGCAGTGGCTCTGAAACCTCGACTCTCTTAACTATTGTTCTGGATATTGTCGCGCTCGATTGATTGCCGTGTGAGCTCCCGGCTCCGGGAGTCACGGGGTACAGAAGGCCTCGTATCTTCCGTCATACGAGCCGCTGCCGCTGACTGACAGGGTGTGTGGGTTCTCCCCCAATAGGCCTCGCACGAGGACATTTATGCTGTACTCCTGACTGTCTCTGCAGTGGACAAGAAACAGGGTGATGTTAGTTACTGCGCGGGGAGAGGGGGAGCGAGGGGGGGGGGGGGGGGTGTTGGGAAGCTGATGGTAGATCCCCTCACACACACACTGGCTGAGGGGATGGTTAGAGAACCTCACGCTCACACCATGACTGTGGGAGGAAGGTTGATGATGATAATAGTATAATAATAATCCCTGCATTTGATGTCGCGTCTTATCACGTCTTCGAGACGTCTCAAAGCGCTTCACAGAATATACTGTAAAGTGAATTGAGTGTATATTTTGTGGGTGAAACGCAGACAATTGCACACAGCAGTGTCCCCATAACCCATGTCCCCATGGGTTGAGTGACCAAATTATTCTTATTTGTTTATTTGATCCCGTCACACAGATTGGCTTAGATGGTGGTTCCAGCCGTGAACACGAGCTCAAACAACAGCTTTAATTTATACGGCGCCCTTCACATCGGGAGGACGTCCCAAGGCGCTGGACAGTCAGGGGCTTGCACCCGAGCTGGGAGGGTTGGGATCAGGGTGGGGGTCGGTTGGTGAACGAAGGCGCGGTCGAAGAGACGGTTCGGTATTCCAAAGGGGATGGGGGGCAGAGAGGGAGATGATGACCCACTCACTTGGCGGTGAAGTTGATCTGAAGCACGGATCTTGTGCTGATCAGTGAGTTGACCCGGGGGTTTATCATCCCGCTGCGGGGCGACAACTCAAACGCATCCCGATCACTGTAGTATTTGGACTTATCTGTGGAGAAAGAGGCGGTTCAGACACTCAGCGACTCTACCCCCAAACTTTGAAAATCTATCCCACAGTCCACAGTCCCACTGCTCTAACCACTGAGCTACAGGACTAATACTCTGGAGCGGGAGTAAGCTTGGTGAGCTGAAGGTAGGCCCGTGGTCCTTACCGAAGCTTGCTGTCCAGAAGCTCTTGGACGCGGTGTTATTGATGAGGAAGACCTCCTTGATTCTGGTCTGCCCTACCAGGCAGATGCCGAAGTCAATGTCATCGCAGGAGAGCTCAAAGCCGGGCACAGACACATAACCGTAGAGAGGGATCGTCTACAGAGAAGAGACTACGTCAATCTGAGCTCAGGATTCCTTGCATTTGATACAGTGGCTCATCACGTCTTCGAGACGTCTCAAAGCGCTTCACGGAATACACTGGTAAAGTGAGTTGACCGTAGATTTTGTGGGCGGAAAGCGGCAGCCAATTTGTGCGCAGCAGAGCATCCCCAAAAACAACCATAGATCGAGTGACCAAATTATTATTATTATTTTATTCTGAAGGGATTATTAGCCCCGGAAAAGGGCTTCGGCTCATCTCAAGGACGTGGGTTTATTACGGAGATACTGTGATATCCAACAGCAGAGGGTGCTGTGGATGGAGATGACGAAACCTGGTTCAAAGCCAATTTTTTTGAATAAATAGAGAATTTGCATTTTTATAGCGTTCTATCTCACTGTAAAACATCCAGCAGCACTTGACAGGCAAATTATAAGCGTATCTCTGTGGGCAAATGGGGCTGACACCTTCAGCAGCACATAGACGCCATCAATAGCCCTGGAATGTTGGTCAGGACATCAGGAGAAACTCAACTATCTTAACCAAAGGACCTTCGATACCTGTCTGAAAAACAGGCAGACGGTCCTTTGGCAATGGTTTAACATCTCATCCCCAAAGTGTGAGCCTGTGCTTGGCGTTTGAATTTAAGCCGCAACTTAGGGCTTGAACCTAAAATAACAATAATAATAATAATAATAATAATAATCCTTGCTTTTGATACAGCGCCTCATCATGTCATTGATTGCGCTTCAGGGACTGTACTGTAAAGCGAATTCACAGTATATTTTGTGGACGAAACGCAGCAGCCAATTGAGAGCACAGCGGATCCCATTGAGTGACCTAATTATTTATTTGTTTGTCGATTTATTTGAAGGGGTTATTATCCCTGGAAAGCGATCTGCGTATGAAAGAATGAAGCAGGAAAAAGGCTCTATGAATACTCTCCGTCACTCCCTCCCTCCCGATTACCTGTGAGGACTTGTTGCTATACTCAATTATCAGCTCTTGAGTGTATTTCAGGTATCGGTCTTTGTTAGCAGACTCGATGAACTCTACCTCCACCCTCTGCGCATCTGGTGACTCCTGATCCAGCATATCCAGAGCAGTGCAGAAACCCACCGTAACCTGCAGTGCAATACAATTTACATTTAGAGGGAAAACTTCAGCACCACAACAACTTACATTTACATAGCGCCCTTCAGGCAGGATAATAACAATGATGATAATCCCCGCCTTTGACACGGGGCCTTATCACGCCTTCGAGACATCTCAAAGCGCTTCACAGGATGTACTGTCAAGTGAATCGACTGTGTTATTTTCTGAGCGAAACGCGGCAGCCGATTGCGCACAGCAGCGTCCCCACAAACAGCCGTGGGTTGAAGTGACCGACTTATTATTATGCTTTTTGAAGACGTTATTGCCGCCGCCCCCCCAACCCCGGAAAAAAGCGAATCAACTTAACAACCGGGTTCCTACATACTACGTGCGGAGTAAGGAAACTTCACCCCAGTCGGTCCTCTCGCTTGCGAGGCGAACAAGCCAACCGCTGCGCTACTTACCAGCATGTAGTTCTGTGCGAGGAGCACTAGGGTTTTAGAAGCGTCGTTCTTGGAGGATTTATTCAAGAGGTCCACTTTGATGACCCGGAAAGGCCGCCACACCAGCAGTTTGAAGTGCAGAGGGATCTCGGTGCTGTTGATCAACTTCATGCTGATGAGCTTTATATGTTCCTTCATGATCTTGGATTGGGGTGGTGGGGGGGTGGTGGGGAGAGGAGAGAGGGGGGGGGGGACACAGAGAGAGAGAGAGAGAGAGAGAGAGAGGCAGGAAGGAACAAAGGGAAATCACAAGATTACAAGATTGCTTTGGATAAAGAAGGACCTTATCTTTCAACCCACCACTGTTTGTGGGACATTGCTGTGCGCAATTGGCTGCCGCATTTCGTCCACAAATATACAGTCAATTCACTTTACAGTGTATCCTGTGAAGCGCTTTGAGACGTCTCGAGGACGTGAAAAGCGGTATATAAAATGCAAGGATTATTATTATTTATACCACGTAGAACACAGTCACTCCACTTTACAGAAAATCCTTCGAAACACTTTGAGACGTCCTCACAAAATACTTCTTGTTGCCCGCCCTCGAAATTGTCCTTTGCTACCCTGAAGCTATAATAATAATCATTGCATGTAGCGCTTCACAGATTATACTGTAAAGTGAATTGACTGTATATTGGCAGTTAATTGCACACAGCAGCGTCCCACAAACAGTCATGGATTGAGTGACCAATTTTTTTGGAGAGCTGTGGGAGGGGATTATTACCCCCGGAAAGCGATCCACCGATCGACTAACAACCGCAGGATCAGGGGAGAGAGTGCCAGAGTTTCAGGGTGGAGTGGAGGGGAGCAGCTGGAATAATGGTAGTGAGTAGTTAAGCCAGTGTCTTGTGATCAGGAGTTTACTGTTGTTGTACGAGTGCTATATAAATTGCTTGTTGCTAAAGGTCTGTAAACCCCACTGGATGTTTTGCTGACCTCTCCGTCCATTCCGTGTGGTACTAAATCGCTGGCAGCGGAGTAAAACACCAGCTTCTTGTCATCCTCCATATCCTTGTCGTCAATTTCCAATAACAACCTGATCCAGGGGGGAAACGGAGAGAGAGTGAGTTCATTGACTTGATGTAGCGCCTTTTTCAGAGGCACTAGGAGTAAAGAAACTTGCCCAATGCTTTGCCCTCCCTGGGAATCAAACCCAGGTCCTCTCGTTTGAGCGGTGAGCGCTCTCGCACCTCCCTACCTATCTGAATCTCTTAGCCCACCCCCTGCTCCCCCATCTGCTGCCTCCGCTCGGCTGGATCTGGCCTCCTGTTTGTCCCTCGTCCCCTCCGCTCCACCATCGGGGGCCGTGCCTTCAGCCGCTACGCTCCAAAACTCTGTAACTCTCTCCCTCAATCCCCCCGCCTCGCCCCCTCCTTCCCCACCTTCAAAACCTGCCTAAAGACCTTCCTTTTTGATCGTGTTTACTGTCACCTCCCCCCTCTCCCTCTCCCCTGACTCCCCATGTGAGAGGCGCTATTTAATGCAAGTTGTTGTTGTTGAGACCATGAAGACTACACAGGGTTGAGGAAGCGAGAAAGACCACAAAAGAAATAGAGCACAAAATATACCCCACTCCCCCCCCACCCCCCCCCCACCCCGGGCGCAATACTCACATCGCAGGCTTTACAAACGCATGTAAGTTCAGATGTAAAGGCTGCATGTCATAGCCATCCATCCGCTCCACCTTCCCAGGGATCTCCAGTGCATCCTGCAAAAGGAGGCGATAGCCTTTGAATAAAGCTCTCGAGGTTGCTGGTGGTCCGAGGCCGGACAAGCAGTGGGAAAGCTTGGCCAGACAGCGCTCTCGATGGCCGAGCTGTGTGTGGGTTTAGCTGGTTAGACTCCAGCAGTTACCCCAACGCACACTCTGGGCTCTAACCACCCCCCCCACCCCCCACAAGCCTTGGCTCTCGGCAACCTGCGCCTAATACTCTCCGGAATTAGGTAAGGGGGGGGGCGTCCCTCCAAGGAGAGAGAGAGAGAGAGAGAGCGCATTCCATTCCAACAATCTTATCTCTGGGATTTCCATGTGTAGTTGGGAGACGGGGAATTCTCAGCTGAGGTTTGGAGACCCTTAAGCAACGGTGATGGGTTTACACGTGTGTCAGACACCCGGCTGAGCAGAGAAAAAACGAGGGACTATCGGGTGAATGAGATCAAATGGGCCTTTTTTGATCTAAACTGATCTTGTGATCTTGCCTTACCTCACTGTCCAAAGACATAAAGCCCTGGGCAAAGCTGTCACACTCTTTTTCCATAATAAGGTCAGTGAGCTGGAGTGGGGTGAAAGAGACATTAACAGCCGCGGATCTTTTTGCAGGCACCACCTAGAAGCAGAGGATAAAACTCATTGAATACAAAACTCACCTGGTCATGTGGGCAAGTAGTCTTAAGGACATCTGAAGTAAAAATAATAACAATAATCATCATATCTCATCGATGGGGGCAGGGAATAATAGTAGATAATAATCTCTTATCACTTTGTTTAGACATCTCAAAGCGCTTCACAGAATATACTGTATATTTTGTGGGAAAAAAGCGGCAGCTAATTGCACACAGTTGTGGAGTGAGTGATCAAATTATTATTGGTAGTAGTATTGATTTTGGAAGGGTTTATTACCCCTGGAAAAGTGATTCCCCCCATCGATTAACAGCCAGGTTCCTGCTTACTGCGAGGTAAACAGAGGCCTATGTTTTTGTCGTCCACTACTTACCACCTGCCTTGGCGTTATGGCGTAGGGGTAGTCCGACAACACCCCCTCATGAGGACGTAGTGTCAACAAGATGAGATCCTCGATAAACGTTTTCTCTTTCTCCTCCTCTTCCTCCACCTCCTCCTCCTCATCTTCCTAGAAGCGGTAACATATCACTTAAAGCTCAGTAACAAATGACACTTAGCGCCCTTCACATCCCAGGGTGATGGACAATCTGGCGTGTTGGACCCGAGCTGGGAGAAGGGGAGGAGGGCAGAGGAAGTGGGGAGGGCGGCCGAAGGCACAATCGAAGAGGAAGGTCTTCAGAAGGGATTTGAAGTCGGCAAGAGGGGGAGGGATTGTGGGATAGAGTTCCAGAGGGTGGGCACAGAAATGCTGAATGCCCGACTGCCAATGGTGGGGCGGGAAGTGCGGGGGACCTGAAACAGCCGGTGTCCATCGAACACCAGCACATGCTCCTTGTGAGAGACGAACGAAAGAGTCTGATCAGATCAAAACTGGTAAGTGCGGTGGCCGTTTTTGGTTGGCAAACACAGAAACCATTTTGCGCACAGCAAACATGGAGTCCTGTAGCTCAGGGGTTAGAGCACTAGGCTCAAGTGAGAGGACCGGGGTTCGATTCCCGGGCAGTGGGAAATGTTGGGTAAGTTTCCTTACTCCACACACACACGCCTCTTTTTACCAGTAGTTTGGTCTGTAAACGGTCAGCCTCCAGGACAATCAATGCCACAGAACAGCCGACTGTAAACACAAGTTGAAGTCCTTACATGTTCGTCTTCCTGTAGGGCAGAGGAGCTGGAACTGGAATTGTTGGGAATGGCATTCCAGTCCACCTGGTGCACAGGCTTAATCTCTGGGGGCTTTCTTGCAATGAATTCGTTGCCTTCGACGTCCTTCAGTGGGAATTTCTCTCCATATGAAACAAACAAGTCTAGCAAGTGCAAGTCAGGTAAACCACGGTTGTACATCTCCCAGTCTAAGCGGATGTCTGAAATAAAGAAAGGCCGTCAAAGCGGATCTAATAATAATAATAATAATAACCCTTACATTTGATACAGCGCCTTATCGCGTCTTCTAGACGTCTCAGAACGCTTCACAGGAGACATTGTAAAGTGTATGTTTTGTGGGAAAAAAAGGCAGCCAATTGCGCAATTCTGCGCAATCTTAAATTTTGAGAGTTGAGATGAAGAACATGAGGATTTTCTGCCCCCGACTGTCAGATTATACAGTGTTGACGTTGTGTTAGACAATCGAGGTTGGGTGACCATCAGGACAATCAGCAAGACCAACCCGTCACGAGGAAGCTTACCAAAGGGGGTTGTGTTGATGATGTCTACGGGGAGAGAGACCATGTCACCTCCGAAGGTGTGAGTCCCGAACCTGCAACAGGAAACATGAAATGTCACTTCACATGGACTGAAGTAAAGCGATAGTTACAGACTAGAACAGAACCATAATAATAATAATAATATTCCTTGCATTTTGATATAGCGCTTTTCACGTCTTCTTGACGTCTGAAAGCGCTTCACAGAATAGACTGTAAAGTGAATTGACTGTATATTTGTGGGCGAAACACGGCAGCCAATTGCACACAGCAGCGTCCCACAAACAGTCAAGGATTTGAAATGACCAATTTTTTTCTTGAGGGATTATTATGAGGAGTGTGGAGTAAGGAAACTTGCCCAAGGTTTCAACCTGCCAACCCAGGTCTCTCGCTTGCAAAGCGAGTGCTCTAACCAGTGAGCTACAGGACTCCTCATTGAGGCTTACAGCACAGAAGGAGGCCATTCGGCCCATCATGCCGGTGCCAGTCCCCTGGAAGAGCTACCCAATCAGTCCTGCTCCCCCTCTCTTTCCCCATATCCTTGCAAGTCTTTCCTTTTCAAGTTGCTATCCAATTCCCTTTTGAAAGTTGTTATTGAATCTGTTTCCACCGGCCCTTACAGGCCATGCGCTCCAGACCGTAACGAAGACTCTCTGGCCAAAACAATTTCTCCTCGTCTCCCCTCTGGTTCTTTTGCCAATGATCTTGAACCTATGTCCCCTGGTTACCGAACCACCTGTCACCCTCTGGTTCCCTGTCCTTTTACCTTATTGTGGGTGGCTGTTTCTCAATGTCTTTCTGTGCTCCTAACCTCTTGAAATAGAGTGGGACACCTTTAATAGACAGCTCGATGTTGATGTACGCGGGATCCAGATTTCCGACCTGAGAGAACAGAGAAATATTAATATATTAATATTAGAGAGGAGATGAAGAGGATTGTTTTTACGCAGAGAGTCATTACGGAGTGGAATGCACTGCCTGAAAGGACGGTGGAAGCAGATTCAATAACATTCAATAGAATTTGCTGTATTTGCTCATCGGGCAATGAAGTTGGGAAATGCTTTGTGGTCCGCGGGAACGGCGGTCGGATCACCCCGCCCGAAATGAAGCTGAATTGCAGTGCAACTACTTGGGACATCAATTTGGCAGTGTCTCTCTGCCTCAATCCCACTTCACGTTATCGATAGGCAAGTGCCTTGAGAGAGAAAAAGGAAAAGCACAAACTTGGCAGACGAGACGGTCGTGATAGTTGCCCCACATGTTGTTAAAGGCCGTGACTTTGATGATCCGCCGCTGGAAAGGGCCCAGAGTTCCTGTTGTCGGATTGACCTCAAAGGATACTCCTTTGGAATGGGCCAGCATCATATCCAAGTGTTCTGTGGGAGGGCGGGAGGCACAAAGCGTTAGTAAATCCAGGCAGCAAAGCGAGATAAATTGCATGTGTTGCTTCACGCACAAGCTCAAAACATAATACAATCGCACCTGGGTACGAGGGGGCGAAATCTTAGGCAGCTTTCCTTACTCCACATGCCTCTCTTTACCTAGCAGTGAGTAGGAACCCGGTTGCTAGTCGATTGGCAGATTACTTTGGGGGTAATAATGGTCACTCGATCCACGACTGTTTGTGGGACCCTGCTGCCACGTTTTGCCCACAAAATACACAGTCACTACACTTTACAGTATAATCTGTGAAGCACTTTGAGATGTATCGAAGACATAATAAGGCGGTGTATCAAATGCCAAACGCCCTGTAAAGCACTTTGCGCTCATATCTTTGTCCCCTTTGTTAGGCTCTTCAACTGTCCCTGCTCAGGACGAACTCTTTGAAGTTCTTTGGTTCAGCTCATCCCTCCAGAACACCCACCCTATCATCCTCCCATCGCAGCATTAAAATGCTTTTTTAAATTGAGTCCCAGGGTCCTGGCCTCATCTGCTTTATAATAACTTTGCTTCCAGTGTTACCAAAGGGGAATAAAACGCCGTCCACAGAGTCAAATTGTTCTACAGGTCAACACGTTTGTGTAGTGAGATTCGGATGTTCTTACCGCTTTCCAATCGACGCTTTGACTTGCTGGGACCCTTGGTCAGATTGACTGTTTTCTTCAGCAAGGTGGTTCTGGGGCTTCCAGATAACAACAATAACAACTGGTATTTATCCAGTGCCTTTCACACAGTGTGAACATAACATCTCAAAGCGCTTGCAAAACATCACCGATTAGAAACGAAGTTCCATATAACTACATCCATCATTAGGACTGTACACCACTGAAAGAGGCCGTTGAGCCTAACTTGTCCAGTGTTTATACTCAACATGAGCCTCCGCTCATCCTGAATTGATGAGGTAAATTTGCAAAATGAATCAGGATAACAACAAGTCACATTACACAGTGCCCCTGAGGTGTGAGAAGACGTCCCAAGGCTCTGGACAATCAGGGTTGCGATCAGGGATGGGTGGAAGGCAGGGAGGGCAGGGAGGGTGACCGAAGGCGCGGTCGAAGAGGAGGGTCTTTAGAATTTTGAACGAGGCAAGGGAAGGTGCGAGGCGCAGGGACTGTGGGATGGAGTTCCAAAGGCAGAAAGGCTGAAGATCTGAATGCTAATGAAGTTCTGATGAAGAACCCAATTGATCTCAGCTTTTAGGAACACCAACCAACTGTTCTCCTATCACAGGATTAAGCTAGGTTTTTTACAAGGTCAAGATCACACAAGAGTAAGCAAGATCACAAAATAGGTTTGAATGAAGAAGATCCTTCAGCCCATTTGAGATCTCGTGCACTTGCCTCAACTGTCTTTCCTGGTAATGGTTCCTGGCGTCTGTCTTGAAGTTGAACTTTGCAACTCTGAACCCTCTCCCTTGCCTCCTTTAAGACCCGTCCCAAGACCCTCATCTTTGACCTCGCCTTCGGTCAACCTCCTATTCCTACCCACCCTGCCCTCCACCCCTCCTGATGCCAACCACCAGCTCAGGCCCAAATCCCTGACTGTTCAGCCCCTTGGGACCTCCTCCTGAGATAAAAGGCGCTATACAAGCTTCTAGGAACCCTTGGCCTTGCCCCCTCCTTCCCCATCTTCAGGTCGTGCCTGAAGACTTTCCTTTTCGACCGCACCTATGGTCACCTTCCCCCTCCCCCAGGCTCGGCCTTGGGCTCCACCAATGTTAATCGCTCTGAGACACCGGCCGGCGTAGAGGGCGCTATATAAGTGTAAGTTGTTGCTGTTGTAATTTGTTGTCGTCGTTGTTGAACCTGGGCCCTCGTTTTCTGCTGTCTCAGTTTTGTTCTGGGTTAGGGTTAATGTGTTGTTGTTGTTGCTGTTGTTGTCTTTGTGCTACTCACCGAATGGCCCGTGCAGTGAGACTCTCCGTTCCTATCGAGGGATGGAAACAAGGCCTGAAGTGCTCCACAACTATACTGAATGATGCTGGTATGGCGGTGTCGTTTGTCATCACTAGCCGTTGCTTTACCGGTTCGTTCACTAAAACATCTTTGAAATTCAAAACCAGATTGTCGCTGGGCGTATGTTGAGAAGGACAGAGAGATGTGTTAGTGGTTGTTCCTCCACTGGCTGGTGGTGAACTCGCACATTTATCAACAGTTAGAGAATTGTTCTAACCACCACCCCCCCACCCACCCCACCCAGGGGTTTCCTTTTAAAAAATGTCAGTTAATAACAATAATAATCCTCGCATTTGATATGGCGCCTTATCACGTCGTTGAGACGTCTCAAAGCGCTTCGTAGAATATACTGTGAAGTGAATTGACTGTATAATTTATGGGCGAAAAGCGGCAGCCAATTACGCACAGCAACGTCCCCACAAACAATCGTGGATTGAGTGACCAAATTATTATTTTCTTTCTGAAGGGATATCACCCTCAGAAAGTGATCCTCCAAATTGACTGACAGCCAGATTCCTACTGACTGCTAGGCGAACGGAGGCGTGCGTGTGGAGTGAGGAAACTTGCCCAGTATTTCGCCCTGCCCGGGAATCAAACCCGGGTCCTCTCGTTTGCGAGGTGAGTGCTCTAACCACTGAGTTACAGGACTGAAACCTTTCCCCTAGTCTCCAAACCCCAGCTCGGGTACCTATTCTGCTTTGCCAAGTGCTTTGAGACATGAAACGTGCTATGTAAATGTACTTTACATACAGCTGCTAACTGCTGGTAGGACTAAGGGGCTTGGTCGGCTAGTCATGCAGATGTTTCCTAGGCACAGGACGTACCTGTTTTGATTAGCTTTATTCAACACGTTGTAAGTTACTTTCAAACCCATTGGATTGCCAGACATTTGAAGCAATAGCGGTTCTTTCATTCTCTCCACTTTGCACAGGAGTGCAAGGTCCGTCACCTCACCCTGGAAGGGAAAAACAGCAACTTACTCTGAGCTCCTCATCAGCTACTTTGGCTTATCTTCTGCCCTATGAAATCTGCATTCGGAGGACAACACATACCAGGGCTTTAAAAGATCCAGCAATGATAAGTTCACGTTTATATAATAATAATACTTGCATTTGATATAGTGCCTTATCGTGTCATTGAGACATCTCAAAGCTCCTCGCAGGATACGCCGTAAAGTGAATTACTTTGTGGGCCGAAATATAATGCCTTTCGCTTCGGAAGGAAGTCCGAAGGCACTTGACAGTCCTGGCTTCACACCCGAGCTGGGGGGTGGGGGCCGAGGGAGGTGGGGAGGGTGAAGATGACTGAAGACGGGGTGGTTTGGGGGTGGGGGCGGTGTGTCAGTGAGAAAGGTCTCGAGATGGACCTATGAACGAGGAGAGGGAGCGGACGAGTCAAAGGGAATCCAGGATGGGGTTTCAGGGGGTGAGGGTTAAAGCCCAACTTTGCCTAAGATTTTGCCCCACCCGGGAAACAAACCGGATCCTCTTGCTTGCGAGCGAGCACTCTACAACAACGACAACAACTTGGATATATATAGTACCCTCCACGATGGACGGCGTCTCAAAGCGCTTTATGGTAACGGATCCCGGGACCAAGCCAGGGGGAGGGGGGAGGAAGATGACCGAAGGTGCGGTCGAAAAGCAGAGACCTGAAAATGGGAAAGGAGGGAGCGAGACGAAGGGAGTGAGGAAGGGAGTTCCAGAGCCTCGGGGCATAGTGGCTGAAGGCATGGACGCCGAGGGTGGAGCGGAGGACTCGGGGAACGAGGAGGAGGCCAGACCCGGAGGAACGAAGGCAACGGGTGCTGTTTTGAGGAGCGAGGAGATCAGAGAGGTTGGGGGGTGCGGGGACCTGAATACGAGGGTGAGGATCTTGAAGTCGATCCTCTCTGGGATAGGCAGCCAGTGCAGTCTGGCGAGGCCCGGGGTGATCGGGGTGATCTAACCACAGGACTCCCACTTCGCAAAGCCCTCGGTGAATTGCAAACCCCAGTGCACTCACCATGATAAACGCTACGAACTCCACACACACTTCCATCTGCTTGTTTGGTCCCAGTAGCCCACTCGATGGCATGACAGTGGCCGAGTACTCGGACGCTTGTTTTCCAATCAGCTGTATTTTTTAAAAAAAAATGTCACAAGGCCAAATTGTCCAGATTCAGAAGGAAGACGAGCAAGGAAGTAAAGGAAGGAAGACAAGAAAGAAATATGCATTTCCTCTGCCAGTGGCAGTTTCTTAAAGAGTTATGAAGGTACGAGCGAGCATAGCTGTGGTCAAACCAAATATTGTCAAACGTACAATAATAATAATAATAATAATCCTCGCATTTGATATAGCGCTTTTCACGTCGGGAGGACGTCCCAAAGCGCTTCACAGAACACACTGTAAAGTGAATTGACTGTATATTTGTGGGCAAACGCGGCAGCCAATTGCGCACAGCAATGTCCCACAAACAGTCGTAGATCGAAAATGACCAATTTATTATTGTTTTGTTTTGGAGGGATTATTATTAGGCTCTGTGTGGAGTAAGGAAACTTGCCCGAGGTTTGGCCCTGACCCCCTGGGGACTGAACTCAGGTCTCTCACTTGCAAAGCGAGTGCTCTAACCACTGAGCTACAGGACTCCGAATAACCGAATGACAATAACACCACCAGGCAGCTTACTCCTCAGGGTAATAATAACCCTTGCAATTGATATAATAATAATAATAATAATAATCCTTGCATTTGCTATAGCGCTTTTCACGTCTTCTCGACATCTCAAAGCGCTTCACAGAATAGACCGTAAAGTGAATTGACCGTATATTTGTGGGCAATCACCGAGACAACTCAAAGCGCTTAATTTACTGTAACATGTAGTGACAGCTTATATTATAGGCAAATGCGGCAGCCAGCAAGCACACAGCGACGTCCCACAAACAGCCATGGAGCTAGTGACCAGTTTTATTTGGGGGACTGTCGGCCAGGACACCAGGAGAGAGAAAGAAACTAGCTTCATTTTTAAAATAGTGTCGTAATATCTTTAATGATAGCCCTTGCATTTGATATAGCGACTTATCACATCTTCGAGACGTCTCAAAGCGCTTCACACTATATATTTTGTGGGCAAAATGAGGGAGCCAATTGCACACTGGATGGACTGAATTATTATTATTTTTAAGGGATTATTATTCCCGGAAAACAATCCGGCAATTGACTAAAAGTGAGTTCCTATTTACTGCAACGTAAACAGAAGCGTGTGGTGTAAGGAAACTTGCCTAAGCTTTCGTCCCACCCGGGAATTGAACCTGGGTCCTCTCGCTTGCAGGTTGAGTGCTCCAACCACTGAGCTACACGACTCCCCACATAGAAATCTAAATATTGTGGTTACACCCAGTGTAAGGTTGTACATACCGATCACCTGAAAGGGAGTCTTTATGGCACAAATAACCCCAGATGGCATTTTTTTAATATAAATATCCAGCTCCCTTCTAACATTGCAGATATTGTAAACCTGTTGCCCACAAATATTTATTCAATTTTTTTTAAAAGTATTTTTTCTCCTCTCTCGGTCACTGAGGTTTCACTATGTGAGCAGTGCTCACTGCTCGGCCTCTCATGTTCACTCCACAGAAGCTTCATTCACTGAAGCCCTGAAACCTGAAGCCAAAAGCGCCATCACATCCAGAGTGAGAGAGAGTTCAAGCTGTTCATTGCTGTAACCCGATTCCCTGTGTTTTGTATAACAATACACAAATGTGTCCTGTGGAGACATGGTGTCATTAAGTACAGCCAAGTGATCCTTTGAATGAGACTTTAAACTGTGTTGCCCATTCAGGTGGACATTTAAAGATGATAATAATCCTCGTCTTTGAAATCACCTTTTGACAAATTGGCAAAAGGACCAGAGGGGAGACGAGGTGAATTTTTTTTCATCCAGAGAGTTGTTATGGTCCTGAATGCACTGCCTGAAAGGGTGGTGTAAGCAGATTCCATAATATCTTTCAAAAGGGAATTGGATAGGTACTTGAAAAGGGGAAAAATTGCAGGGCTACAGGTTAGAATGGGGGAGTGGGATTAGTTGGATGGAAATAATAATCCTTGCATTTGCTATAGCGCCTTATCACGTCATCGAGACGTCTCAAAGCACTTCACAGAATATACTGTAATATAATAAATATAATTATGAATATGCTGTACGTAAATTTACTGCGTATTTGTGTGGGCGAAACCCAGAAGCCAATTGCACACAAGGCAGGTATTTTATTGGGCAGGTATTTTATAGGGCAGGTATTTTATAGGGCAGGTATTTTATAGGGCAGGTATTTTACAGGGCAGGTATATTGCAGACAGATATTTCCCAGGGATGTATTTTACAGCGCAGGTATTTTATAGGACAGGTATTTTCCAGGGTAGGTATTTTACAGGACAGGACATTTGCTTCCGCACACAGTTGTTCTTTCCCCCAATACTTACCTTTCCCCAGTGGAATTTAACTGGCAGTTGTGTCTGGTTAAACAGCGTTGCTATTCCCTGAGCTGGGATTCCGACGTAGAGCACTTTGAAAGCGAGGGAGCAATTCATCAGACACACGTGCATTTCCTGGACCTCAGCCATTACCGAGAGGTGGCTGGAGAGAGAGAGAGAGATGGAGAATTTGTCACAGGATATTAATGATGTTACTTCGCTCTCCCCCCACTTGCCACCCACTGCGTCCCCACAAACAGTCGTGGATTGAAGTGACCAGTTTTTTTTTTTTGGCCTCAGTGTAAGGGTGAGGCGGTGAGTTCCATGTCTCGGCGCCCACTCTGTGCCCACGTGGGCAAGGAGGGTACAGAGGGTAAAGGTGGGTGGCCTTGCCGTGTTCCTTCACCTCGTGCTGCCATTCTCCACATTCAGCTGCAGGACGGTTTTCAGGCTTTGGCATCTTTGGGGTTTGAACAGGATCGTGACACAACAGCTGGCCAACGGGAGCAGCTCCCCTCTGCATGGTTTAAAGGTAAACTGTGACACCTGCAACACACAAATAATAACAATCCTAATCCTTGCATTTGATATCGCGCCATATCTCGTCATCGGGACGACTCAGAGCGCTTCACAGAATAGACTGCAAAGTGGAGTTGACTGTGGGCGAAACGTGGCATCCAATTGCACACAGTGGTGTCTCACAAACAGTCATGAATTGGGAGACCACTTATTTACTGCTAGGAAAACGGAGGTGTGTGGGGCAAGGAAACTTACCTAACGTTTCGCCCGCCTGGGAATCTCGCTTGCGAGGCGAGTGCTCTAACCACTAAGCTACGGGGAATGAATGGTGGACCATCACTGCTCAACAGGGAAGGGCTGAAAGGTAAGCAGATTCTGAGCGGGATCCAAGGATGCGCTTGGCAATACAACATCAGAATCAAGTCTACCCTCTGTGGTAGTCTCAGTAGCCTCCATTAAGTGCTCTGAGACGCCGTCCGGTCTGAATGGCGCTGTATAAATGCAAGTTGTTGTTGCTGTTGACTTTACCGCTTCGTTGCGTTCTCTCAGGCACACTGTGCTTTCCTGCAAGTGCCACCGAGCTGAAATCTGGCACGGATTCTTAATCAGGATTTTGCTGATCATAGCAGTTCGCAGTCTCACCAGGCCAAAATCCAGAGAGGGCAGGTCAATGCAGAGGTGGGGGCCCTGGAATACAATAGGATAATAATAATAATGCTTGCATTTGATACAGTGCCTTATCAGGTCTTCGAGACGTCTCAAAGCGCTTCACGTAATATATTGTAAAGCGAATTGACTGTATATTTTGTGGGCGAAACGCGGCAGCCGCTTGCGCATTTTTTTACTTTTATTTGGGGTTTGTTGGTCAGGACACCAGGAGAGAGACTCGCTTCTCTTTTAAAATAGTGCCGTGGGATCTTTGACGTCCAACTGAACAAGCGCACAGGACCTCGGTTTAAAGTCTCATCCGAAAGGTGGGAACTTACTTACCATTTACAAAGTGCCTTTCATGTCAAAGAATCGCTTTTACGGGATTGACTTTATTGGGAATAAATTTTGTGACGGTGGGAGCCGGGGTGGGGGGGCGGGGGCTTATCTGTACCCGCTGCTGCCCTGACAAGCACTGACCAAAACAGTTGCCTCCAGATGAAGAAAAATTGGCTCTTTCTGGTGTTTGATGGTGCACTTCAAATTGTGGGTTATTTTATCAGGTTTCCCTCCTGTGATGGATATCTGCAGGTCATGACTGTTGTTAGGCTCTGTACAGAAAACAGTTAAAATCCAATCAGCCTTTGGATTCCGGCAGCGGGAGAATCGGTTGAGGAGTGAACAGCACAAAGTCACGAAACAATACAGCACGAATTTGCATTTATACCCGGATTCGATTCCCGGGCAGGGTGAAACCTCAGGCAAGCTTTCTTACTGCACATGCTTTTGTTTACTAAGCAGTAAGTAGGAACCGTTGTTAGTCGATTGACGGATCGCTTTCCTGGGGTAATAATCTCTTCCCCCCCACCCACCCCCCTCCCCCCAAAAAAATTGGGTCACTCAATCCACAACTGTTTGCTGTGCATAATTGGCTGCCGCATTTTGCCCACAAAATACACAGTCAAGTCTACATTAAAATATATCTGTGAAGCACTTTGAGACGCCTCAATAACTTGATAAGGCACTATATCAAATGTAAGGCTTATTATCGATCGCCTTCCCCTGCCTTTGTTGTCTCCACCCGACAGATGACCTTACCTATTGATCCAAAAGATGGCACCACTTCTATTATATGACAGTCATTGACCCTGTCCCATTCGTACTTGATGGCTGATAGGCTGCTATTCCTTATCTATGGACGGCACATAATAAGTCATATGATCAAGCATGTTTAAGAACATAAGAGCATAGGAACAGGAGTACAGCCTGCTCCACCATTTTACTAGATCATTGGCTGATCTGCAATTTAATAGCATTTCTCTGCCTTTTTGCCACATGCCACCAAAAGGACATCTATCTCCGTCCTTGATACTGATTCTGTAAGGAAATTGCTTTGGCCGGGGTAACGTCCAGGCCAGGGTGACGTCCTCACTCGTATTCAAATCCCTTCACTGCCTGGCACCTCCCTCCCTCTCCAACCTCCTCACTTCCCCCAATCCACCACTCGGTCAGCGGCCTCATGCTCGTCCCTCGCACCCCCCCTCCACCCCCACCATCGGAGGTCGCGCTTTCAGCCACTACCTCCCGAAACTCTGGGACACTCTCCCCCAATCCCTCCGCCTGGCCTCCCCTCTCTCCCCTTTTTCAAGTCCCACCTGAAAACTTTCCTTTTCAACCGTACCACCTCCCCCCACCTCCCCCCCAGCTCGGAGTCGGGATCCGCCACCATCAAGCACTCTGAGACACTGCCCTAGGTGGAGTGCAAGTTGATGTTGTTGAAAGAGAAGAGAATATAAAAGGGAGCTGGGATCAGGGCAGCAAGGTCTTTTGGTGGTACTGGGTCTGGTATAGGTGTGAAGGGCTTGATTGCATATTATTAATTATAATGGCGGTGGAAGCAAATTAGATAACAGCTTTCAAAAAGAGAAATGGATATGTGCTTAAAAAGAAAAAACTTTCAGGGCTATGGGGGAGCAGCGGGGGAGTGGGAGTAGTTGGACAGCTCTTTCAAAGAACCGTCCCGATGGGCCGAATGGCCTCCTTCTCTGCTGTAAGATTCTATGATTCTTTAGATTTTATGGACTGCCTCAGAAGATACAAATCTATCAAGTCAATCAAGTGAGCGATAGATAAGACATACGGTAAGCAATGCTACATAGGCTCAGAGGTGTAAAGATTAGACACCAGCAAGTGTTTCTTTACCCAGAGGGTAATTAACGACTGGAACGTGGTTGAGGCCAAGACACTGCGACTTGTCTAAACAGCAGCTCAATGCTGTGATGGGGGGATGGTCAGGAGGGTGTTCTGCGTGGATGAGATCAGATTGGTCGAAGAGCCTTTATCATTCAAACCCAACCTTGTGATCTTGTGAAGGGATAAGGAAGTAAAAGATTGACACAGACTAAATGGCAGAGAATGTTCGACAGAGTGAATGACCTTGTTGAGTTCCTATCTTCAATTCTTTATTCTACAGGGTGTCCACAAAGACATGTTCTCCCATTGTTTTTTCCTACTGCGCACTGACCGGCAACTGAAACAGTGGGAGGAATGATGACAATTGTACTTAGAAGTACTTCATTGTATTCAGTACAAGTGGGTTTACTGTATTTAGACATCCAGAAGATCGGGGTGTGTATGTGTGCATGTGGGGTGTGTGTAGTGTGAGTGTGAGCGCCATTATTTTTATGGAAGATAATGATCTGTCGCCATGTTCAATGTGACATCTTTCGTAACAGGGATGGAGTGACAGCTCTGGCAGCTTGGTTCATCTCCTCCGCTGTCTAGTATCGCTGTGGGGGGAGCAAGCGGGCTTTGTGGACACCCTATATTTTATATTAATAGAAGACTTTTTCTGGCTAACCATGTGGGAAATACTGCAGAGAGAATGAATGACGATCGTGCCAGACCTTGAAATGTTTCTTCAATGTGGTGTGGATGTAGTTCTCCCCAGGAATTAAGATAGCGTAGGGCTCCAACTTGACGTGGAAGGGCTCGGTGTAACCTTTGACCTCCACCTCCATCGCGATGACGTTGTTAACCACGGTGGAAGCAATTCTCAAAGCTCTTTCTGTCAGTGTCCTCCTGAAAAGTTGGAGGGAATTGGGTTTTGAAAGAAATAGATTTCACAGGTCACTTACATCAAACATGTTTTCTTAATTGGATCCAATAACCAAGCAACAATTAAACCTTGCAGTTGATACAGCGCCTTAATCATGTCTTCGAGATGCTTCACAGAATATACTGTAAAGTGAGTTGACTGTACATTTTGTGGGCGAAACGCGGCAGCCAATTTTGCGCACAGCAGCGTCCCCCACAAACGAAGTGACCAATATATTATTGTTTTTTTTCTTGAGGTATTATCATCAAAAAACAAAGGTTAATAATCCTTGCATTTATCAAATGCAAGTATCATTATTATCATTCAACCACTCTGCCCCTACCCTTTGGAACTCCATCCCACAAGTCCCTTGGCCTTGCCCTCTCCCTTGCCTCCTTCAAGGCCCATCTCAAGACCCACCTCTTTGACTGTGACTCTGGTCACCCTCCTAATCCTACGCTCCACCCCTCTTGATCCAAGCAGTCCAGCACCTTGGGACGACCTCCTAACATGAAAGGCGCTATGTTATTGTCTTATATCTGCCACTAGCTATCTTGTATTCATGTCTCTCATATTTAAAAGGCTCTTTGTCTGTGTCTTTGGTCAATACATCTAAACATCAGCTTTCTGCCTGGGGAACACAATCATCTTGATGATGGGTCTGTGACTAATACTACTCTGTTACTCCTTACTAGTTGAGAGACAGTAAGAATGTCAGCACTTACGCACAGGGACCAGGTTGACTTATATTGGAAACCTCTGGTATATCCCGCAGGATCAAGTAAAACACACCGTGATAGTCCTTCAGCTGCAAAACAAACCAGGAAAAGGTGGAGTTAATTCCTCCTCCAGAATGGTTGGTGGTGGTGGGGGGGGGGGGGGGAAGAGGTGGGGAGGAGGTGGTGAGAGAGGTAAGGACCATGATTTTCACTCTTGTTTGCCAGATCCCAGACTGAAAATAAATTAAAAATGACAATGCAAGTGTTATTGTTGTAATAATAATCCTTGCATTTGACACAGCGCCTTATCCCGTCTTGGAGACGTCTCAAAGCGCCACAGAATATACTGTAAAGTGAATTGACTGTACATTTTGTGGGCGAAACACGGCAGTCAATTGTGCACAGCAGCGTCCCCACAAACAGTAGTGGATTGAGTGACCAAATTATTATTTATTTTTTATGGGATTATTACCCCCAGGAAACAATCTGCTAATCGACTAACAAGCAGGTTCTACTTAGTGTGAGGTAAACAAAGGTGTGTGGAGTAAGGAAACTTACCCAACGTTTCGCCCTGCCCGGGAATCAAACCCAGGTCCTCTCGCTTACGAGGGGAGCGCTCCAACCACTAGGATAATAATGGTTCCCTACTTCTCCGATCTGCTCACCGCTTAGGCCTTTACCTGCTCCACCCTTCACTCAATGGCTCCAGCCCTCTGCACATCCCTCGTCCCCTCCGCTCCACCATCGGTGGCTGTGCTTTCAGCCACTGCGCCCCAAAACTCTGAAACTCCCTGTCTCAATTGTTCCACACTGCCCTCTCCTTGCCCCTCTTCACATCACGCCTGAAGACGTTCCTCTTCGACCTTGCCTAGGGTCACCTCTCCTCTCCCCTCCGCTCGTCGTCGGCCTCCACTACTGCTAAGCGCTCTGAGACGCCACCCCGGGCGGGGGGGGGGGGGGGGGGGTGGGGGTGGCGCTGTGTAAATGCAATAATGTCTCGAGGTTGGGCAGGGCGGCAAGAACATTTAAAGCTGCGTAGGTAGTGCTGCGGTTGAATGTACCTCGTGAGGAAAATAACTGAGGACGAAATGATGTTCCTGGAGAGGTTGCAGAACTCCGGAATCAGGGCAGATGTCAAAGGCCAAATCCACATCTGGAATGTACTCAATGTTGGTTTCCTTGCTGGGCTCTCCGGGAATAACAGGCTGCAAATTCGGCTTCATTAGTTGCCAGCAATAGGGAAGCTCCACGTACCTGGAAAAAAAGATAAGACTCAGGAACTGTTTGGAAAGGCAACAAGGGAACGTGAGGGGCATGCGGTTACACTGAACCACATTGTGGGAAAATAACTCCCTGCTATAATAATAATCCTTGCTTCCCACTCTTCCCTCCCACTCGCACTCTGACCTCTCCATCTAGGGTCTCCTACCCTGTTCCAGTGAACCACAGCGCAAGCTCGAGGAACAGCACCTCATCTATCTGCTGGGGTCCTTGCAGCCCTCTGGCCATACAGACCATAACAGCTCACCTTCCCCCCCACCCCACCCCACACCACCCTCTTCTGTGACCATTGCCACATCATCTGGGTCCCAGACAAAACTTTTCTCTCTCTGGTCTGCGCAGACAGCACAAAACCGGCCTCACGGTTCGCCTCCAACTTGTGGCTCGAGCATCTTCACACCTACCGCTGTTCCCGCTCGCAAGCCAAAACTCATTCAACTCGCAGGTCATTCTGGAGGCCAAAAGCGACTCCAAAATCCTGTTCTCCACCACCCGCCAGGTCCAGCACACCCTCAATCCTAACATCAAATGGCAAATGCTAACATCACAAGCCTCGGTTTGCCCGGCAGTCAGTAGGAGCCTGGTTGTTAGTCGATTCCCAGATCGCATTCTGGGGGTAATAATCCCTCCAAAAAAATGATAATAATTTGGTCACTCAATCCACGACTGTTTGTGGGACAATTGGTTGCTTTACAGTATATTCTGTAAGATATATTAACGATATGGTAAGGTGCTACGTCTAATGCGATGATTATTATTATTATTACTACACTTTAGGGTGTAGCAATTTTGACAGTACGACCTTCTGTAGTTCTACACATTGTCAAAATCTTTACACCAAGGTGAAAGGAAGCTTTAAAGTCTAGAAAAACGACTGGTTATTTTTCGCTGATTTATTGCTCGGGCCTGTCTTACTCACGTGGCGTTACGGATGATGATCTCCTTCTGGGAGCAAGTTTGAGGATTGATCGTGTCAAATCGCACAAAGTGTTCTGCCGTCATGTCCGTGCATTCCCCCGGGGCAGCCGGGCTTTCTCCCCCAGTCACCGAGACAAAATCCAGAGCCACCAGCTGGCCGGTACCTGAGGTAACCCAGGAGAGAATTAACTGGGGGCAAAGGAGCAACAGGCGTGAGAAAAAATATTAAACCATAGTAAATAATTTGGACACTCGATAATTTTTAGCTCTTCCAAAGAGTCGACACAGAGGTACGATGGGCCGAATGGCCGCAATCCGTGCTGTAATCTTCTATGAATTCTGCACCATCTTAAATTGTAGAAATATGGTCGCGGCATAGAGGTGCCATGGACTGCAACATTGTGCCATTCAGTGTTTGCTTGCTTGAGTTGTGCATGTGTGCTGTGTGTTCATGGGTCAGAACCAAGACCTGGGAGAATTCGTTAACTCCTTTAAACAGGTTGCGAATGCCGTACTTTGATGGGAGAGCTTTACCATCCAATACCTGTGATTTCAAAGTCTTTGACCTGGCAGTTGTCACACACCATGGTAATGATTTGGGAGACGGTTTCACAACAGGCCGGAAAAAAGATGACCTAGGAATCAAGACACGCAGAGGTTTACAGGTTAAATGGTTTCTCGACAGAATAAAAAGTTTCACCCGCTATAGAAATGAGCCGCAGAAACCCAGCAAACTCCTCCCTGCCAGCCTAAGCCCCTTCGTATCGTCAATGTTGTAAAACACTCGCCCTCGATCCCTCCCTCCGCCTTGCCCCCTTCCTTCCCCATCTTCAGGTCGTGCCTGAAGACTTTTCTCTTCCACCGCGCCTACAGTCACCTCTCCCACCCCCCAACCTGGGGCTCGGTGTCGTGCCCCGCCACAGTAAAGCGCTCTGGAACACTACCCTACATGAGAGGCGCAATTTGTTATTGTTGTAGGTTCCAGCCTCAGGTCAGGGCGTTGAGTTTACACCCTCGCCTAACGCATGAGACTGCAGCACTGGGGGAGGAATGATAAACCTGCTCAGGCGGGCAGTAAACATCCCACCGCACTGTCTGAAAACAAATAGACGTCTCCCCCGGCGTCCTGACCAACAATCCCCAAGATAAAACTGGTTGTTCATCTCCTGGCTGTTTTTTTTAGAGATGTTGCTGTGAGCAAGTTGCCAATCACATTCGCCTACAAAATACTCGGTCACCACAGTCAACGGTAATTACTGTTTAAGCGTTTCGAGACAATCATTTTGGTGTTGTAGTTTCTGTGTGAAATGCGAGGATTATTATTATTATTATTGTTGTTGTTGTAATTGTGGACTGACCTCCAGTATTATGCCCTGGCCTGGATGTAGCTCGAACACAGCAGGTCTGATCGCGAAAGGAGGTGCTTCCAGAAAGCCAGAGGCTGCCACGCTCTGCAACAACAGCAAACAAGTTACATTTATGCAGTGCCTTTCATGTCGGGGGGACGTCCCAAGGCTCTGGACAGTCAGAGATTTGGACCCGAGCTGGGGGTGGAGGTCAGGGAGGGTAGGGTTAGGAGGGTGACCGAAGCCGTGGTCAAAGAGGAAGGTCTTGAGACGAGCTTTGAAGGAGGCGAGGGTGAGCGCAAGACGAAGGGACTGTGGGATGGAGTTCCAAAGGCTGGGGGCAGAGAAGCTGAAGCCCAACCGCCTCTGAAACCTCACAGACTCTCACCCTGAAGTTAGTAGTTGGCCACATTTTCTTGAGCATCATACAGAAGCGGCCAGAATTAAACCCTTTGTTCTTACACAGGAACTGGGATATCTTCATTCCGCCAACCAAACAATGGCCACAGTCCAAAGTCCTGGGCACTACATTGAGTGGAAAGAAAGCACAAATTTCAGATGACATTTTTAGGCAATGAGTCCCAAATATCTCTACACACTGGAGTAGTATTTAGAGCAATCGCCTCATGGGCAGGGTGAAACCTTTGATTCCCGGGCAGGGCGAAACTTTAGGCAAATTTCCTTAGTCCACACACACACCTAAACCTCTGTTTACCTAGCAGTAAGTAGGTGGATAGTTAATTGGCGGATCGCATTACGGGGTAATAATCCCTCAAAAAAAATAGATCAATCTACAACTGTGTGTGGGACACTGCTGTGCGCAATTGGCTATCACGTTTCACCCACAAAATACACAAGTCAACTCTCTTTACAGTGTATTCTGTAAAGCGCTTTGAGACGTCTCAGCGACGTGATAAGATGCTATATCAAATGTATTATTATAAGGAAATCCACCCCAAAGACTGAGGCTACTCACATGTTAGTATGGGAGGAAGTCTTTTAGCTTCAATGGGGACCACGAGAGGGAAGTGGGACTGCGTCTCTACGATTAATAAATCCTCGTAGTTGGCTGAAGAATCCGGAGCAAAGCGTATTGTGTATTGGCATGTCATCCCTGGAGCAACAATTCCACCCACTCCTGGAAATTTTCCTGTTTGATAAAAATGGACAAAAATAGCGACGAAACTGGCAACTCCGAGCACCTTTGTACTTCAGTTACCCCAACGTACACTCTCCCGAATAAAATAAGCAGCGTATGTCCCTCCATTGAGGGTGTGCACATTACATTCTGAGAGAAATTTCCATGTGTAGGTGCCAAATATATGTGGGCACTCTCAATCTGCTTTGGATACTCTTAACCATGGCTTCTGTCAGACATCAAGCGAGAGACCGGAGTTCAATTCCCGGCAGAGGGTGAAACCTTGGGCAAGTTTCCTTACTCCACACAGAGCCTAATAATAATCCCTCCAAAACCCAAAACAATAATAAATTGGTCATTTTCAATCTACGACTGTTTGTGGGACATTGCTGTGCGCAATTGGCTGCCGCGTTCGCCCACAAATATACAGTCAATTCACTTTACAGTGTGTTCTGTGAAGCCCTTTGGGACATCTCGAAGACGTGTTAAGGCACTGTATCATTTGCAAGGATTATTATTAATATTATTATCATTATTATTATTATTATTATTATTATCAGGCTCGTTGTATAAGTTAAGATTGTTGTTAGAGGTAAGTCATGTGATCTAGACGATGCGGATAAGATCTCAAACCGAGGTCCCATCTGTCTGTTTGGGGAGAAGTTAAAAATCCTGCAGCGCTATTCAAAAAGTTAAGGAGTTTCCCTAATCCCCAACAATCCCCCAAATAAAATTAGTCACTCACTCCACGGCTGATGGTGGGGACCCTGCTGTGCGAAATTGGCTACGGCGTTTCATCCGCAAAATACACAGTCCATTCACTTTGCATGTGAAGTGCTTTGAGACGTCTCCATGACATGATAAGGCGCGATATCAAATGCAAGGATTATTATTATTTTTATTATGGTTATCCAATGGAAAAACAATTGGTCAGGGAGAGAGAGGAGACTGTGAACCTAGAATAAAGTTGAAACCTTTTCAAGATCCCAGTGGAAATGAGTTTTATTGGTGTCACATATCAAGACTGACAAAAGAAAATCACCTAAATCTCTCTCTCGCGATCCAAGTGTTTTGGACTGAAATAGGGGAACTTACCGAGTCCCATGGAAAAGAATGGCGTGCTGGGCGGGATGACCCGGACATGGCGACTGTTGGAGGTTAGGTTCTGCAGCTCAACATTTGTCTGGAAAATAACTGGGCTTGTTCAGTGAGCAAAATATACAAGTTCCCTTTGATCTCATCCCTCCAGATCACACACCCTACCAGCACCCCATCCCCGCATCCAACTCCTTTTCAAATGAGTCCCAGTGTCCTGGCAACCACCAGTCTTTCTGATGTCTGTTCCAGTCATTGATCACCCACTTTGTTGTATCTATCCTGAAATTGCTCTCCTGAATACTAAACTACATCCTCTTGTACTTTCCTGTTCCATCCTAAAGTATTGTTTACTTTTTCAATCCCATTCAAAATGTTATGCAACAAGAACAACAAGTTGACTTATATTGCGTCCTTCACGCGAGGTAGCGTCTCGGAGCGATTGAGATACACTAATATGGACACCTCTGAGTTGTCTTCTCTCAAGACTGAGAATGACAGAGACTGGAAAGAACAAAAAAAACAAAAGAACAAAGGAAGGAAGGAAGGAAGGAAGGAGAGAGCGAGAGAGAGAGAGAGAGAGAGCTGACTGGGGTGTATCAAGCATGGAATGAGGGTGTATTTTTTTATATATGTAAAATACTCCCCTTTTCTCAGGTCTGTTCAAAACAATGACAAACGCACCTCATAGATCTGTCCCACTTTGTAGTCTGTAAAGGAAATAATTGGTGGATTCGCCAGGAAAACAGGCACGGATTCCGTGGAGATACTGCAACAAAATACAACAACATTATGCATGTAGGTTTCTGTTTATAGTCATAGAATCATAATAATAATCCTTGCATTTGATATAGCGCTTTTCACTTCTCAAAGCGCTTCACAGAATATGCAGCAAAGTGAACTGACTGTATATTTTTGGGCGAAACGCGGCAGCCAATTGCACACAGCAGCGTCCCCACAAACAGTCGTGGGTTGAAAATGAACACAAGCAATACTAACTTGATCATCCCTTACAATGACACTTGAAAATAATAGGTTGAAATGTGACGCAATGTGAAAATTCACTGGTATTGGACATCGTGTGCGGCATTTTTCACCCTCATGTAGTCATCATGGTTGAAATAGACTATATCCATGAATACGTTTTGCTGAAGAGTGTTGAGGGCATCTGTTTCCACCAATCCGATTTATCACGTCATTGAGAGGTCTCGAAGTGCTTCGCAGAATATATTTTAAAGTGTAGTTAGTGACTGTGTATTTTGTGGGCGACACACGGTAGCCAATTGAACACAACAGTCCCACAACAGTTGAATGACCACATTATATTTTATATATATATATATATAGATACCCAGATATAAGGAAAACTACTGCGTACGTTTTGTGGACAAAGATCTTTCTTTCCGGCAGTTGCTTCGGCACCTTCTGCTGCGGAATGATGAGTGATTTGCCCCCGTTTGGGTGTTGAAGGGATAGAAAGCGTGGGTTCTTCAGGAAGTTATGCCTTTCTTCCAATCTTTTCAAATTCAACCGTACCTCAACTCGCTCGCTTGAGGACATCTGGCCCCTCCACAAGTTCTTTTTAGTCACCCTCTTATCCTGCTTAATGGAAAGATCGAAAAATTATTCGATTCACTTTGCCCACAAAGGAAACATAGTCACTGCACTCCACGGTAAGGAACTTTGAGGTGTTTTAATGACGTGATAAGGCACTGAATCAATTGCCAGGATTATTATCCCATTAGAGTTCTGTAGCGGAAGGGTTAGAGCCCTCGACTCGCAAACAAGAAGATCCGTGTTCGATTCCCGGGGGGGGGGGGGGGGGAAACTTAGACAAGTTTCCTTTCTCCTCTGTTTACCTAGAGTAAGCAGGACCCCGGTTATTAATCGTTTGGCAGATCGTTTTTCTATGTCTAATAATCCCTTAAAAAATGGATGTGATCACTCAATCCATGACCGTTGCGGTACACTGCTGTGCGCAAAGTGGCTGTCGTGTTTCGCCCACAAAATACAGTCAATTCATAGGTTACACTGTAAAGTGTAGTAACTGTGTGTTTTGTGGGCGAAACGAGGCAGCCAATTGCACACAGCGATCCCACAAACAGTCGTAGATTGAGTGACCAAATTATTATTATTATTTTGGAGGGATTATTACCCACGGAAAGAGATCCACCAATCGAGTAACTTACTGCTAGGTAAACAGAGGCGTGTGGGGTAAGGAAACTTGCCTAAGGTTTCGCCCTGACCTGTCCCGTCCCGCCTGGGAATCGAACCCAGTTCCTCTCGCTTGTAAGATGAGCACTTTAACTCTAAAGGACTCCACATGGCTTAATAACAGTCAACATAGTTAAGTAATGGAAAGTTAGCAGCATGGATAGGATAGGGTTAGAAGTCACATTTCTCCCACATTGATGGGACCACATACCTTAATGCTGGGCTTTTCCAATACTTTAGTTGCATCAGAGCTCTTTTTTTGCTGAAGTTTGGGGGCTTCTGATGATTCTCTGGTTTCTGTCTTCTGAACTGTCTTGTGGACCTCAGCCACGGAGTCAGCGAAGGTGATGCTTCTGAGGTTTCTGCTTGGTTCCTCCGTGGGTGAAATTAATCCTGGACAAAAAAAAAGGTATGTCTTTTGAAACAGAGCTCTAACCACCGAGTCCAGTAGCTCGGTGGTTAGAGCTCTCGCCTTGCAAGCGCAAAGACCCAGGTTCGATTCCTGCGCAGAGCGAAATCTTAGGCAAGTATCTTAGATGGGGGGGACCAAGGCCACGGAGGGCCTTGAAGGCGAGGATGAGGATTTTGTCAAGGGAGCTAACAAGCCTGATTGGAGTCCAGCCTTTAACTCCCTTGTTTGTAACGCCCTGTACACACAATAAAACAATGAGCTCTTTTACACATAGGATGAGTGCCAATAACCATAGAAAAAACATTGCCAGGGTGGCAACATAGATGTTGGATGGACCAGGGTTCCGGAGCTCAGGGAAGATTTCCCTCCAGGACCAGTCACACCCACAACACAGAACACAAGGGCTTTGTTTCCTTTTAACACTTAACAACGTTGAGCAATTTATTAAAAAGTCTCGACCCCTCCTATAATTAGGTGTTACTGATTTTGCAAGAGGTTCGGATTATTTTTTATCTCCACAGCCCCGAACACTCGCTCTGCTCGGGCTCCACGCTCCCAATGCCCCCCCGTTGTCATTATATTATATTACCGTTATCCGTGGCTGTTTGTGGGACGTTGCTACGCGCAAACTGGCTGCTGCGTTTCACCCTTGAAGCGCTTTGAGACGTGCTTCCGACTTGATAAGGCACAATATCAAATGCAAGGATTATTATTATTATCGTCTGGCCCCACTGGCTCTCAGTACTCTGAGCACATCGATTGCAAGATTCTTGTCCTGATTTTAAAATCCCTTCTCGATCTTTCCCCTTCTACCCCCCCCCACCTCCCCTGCTCTACTCTGCCTCCGCCCTCTGGAACGCTCTCTCAAAAATCTCTCTTTCTGTTCTGGCCAACAATCTCAATAATAATAATAATAATAATAATCCTTGCATTTGAAACAGTGTTTTATCTCGTCTTCGAGACGTCTCAAAGCGCTTCACAGAATACACTGTAAAGTGAATTGATGTGGATTTTGTGGGCAAAACGCGGCAGCTAATTCCACACAGCAATCTTCCAGACGAACTGGATGGCTAGCCTGTAAAAACATTGATTCACTTGCTGTAATTATCTGTGAAGTGTTTTGGGTTCTTTTAAATCCCTCCAAAAACAAAAAACAATAATAAATTGGTCATTTTCAATCCATGACTGTTTGTGGGACATTGCTGTGCGCAATTGGCTGCCGCGTTCGCCCACAAATATACAGTCAATTCACTTTACAATATATTCTGTGAAGCGCTTTGGGACGTCCTCCGACGTGAAAAGAGCTATATCAAATGCAAGGATTATTATTATTATTATTATTGATAGGCGCTCTATCAGTTGCAATTAGTAGTATTTAAACTAGGAAATTTACAACATTTTTTAAAGGGAATTGGATAAGAATTGGATAACAGATTCTTTCCTCCTGAGTTGTAGGAATTTTCACAATGTCAGTGTTTAACCTGGAGAGAGGTCAATCCATTGGGAGCCGGGGAGCCTGAGGAGTCTGGGGTTTGTTATGCTGAGTTTGGTGCGAGAGAGGTGTGAGGGTTTGGGTTTAGCTGGAGCTTATGGATGGTAGAATTTAGGAGATTAGGTGAGGAGTGCATTGCGAAGTAGAGGTGGGAGGTGAACATTTGATGACATGTGTGAGATAGGGACAGAGCTGGAAACTAATTAGATTTGGTAGCGATGTACAGATAAAACACCAGCACAAGTCATGATGGCCCGAATGGCCTGTTTCAATGTAGTGTAATTATGAATTTAATACGATTTTTCTTTCACTGTACCTTCAATAATGCCGGGGAGCACAGGGGGTTCTGGGTTATAACCATCGGGTGTGATTAAATTGTTTTTCCTGAGCATTTCACAGTTCAAACAGGCCCTGAAGACGGATTTCACTGGAACGAAACACACACAGATTAAGGATCTTTGTCATCTTTCTGCATCCGTAGAGTTTCATTTCACCCACCCTCTCTCTCAACACTATATCAAATGCCAGGATTATTATTATTATTATTGTTATTATTAGTATTATTATAATCCTTCATCCAGGCAGAATTGGTTAGTCCGAGGAAATTGTGGCAACGTTTCAGCCCGGGATTTGAACTCAAGTCAGGAGTACAAGCTCCAGCATAACAAGGGCTTTTATTGATCGTTCTGAAGAGCACTGTGCATTGTCGGCATTATCAGGACTAAACAGTCCCTGTGACTCCAATCATGACCAATGTGCTTTCCCCCATTAGCTCGTCTATTGGAGGCACAGTGTAGAGGTTAGACTCCCACCATTCACTGTTAAGTCAGACTACTCTGTATATCTGACCACGTGCCAGTTATATAAAACTTAGCTTTCCTGAATAGAGCTTGTTATACTGACAAAAGATTTACAGAAACAGGCCACTCTGCCCAACCAATCTGTACCGGGTTTTATATTCCACATGAGTCTACAACCCCCATTCGTTACTCCCTCCCACACCCTCCCATCCCCCGATGCCTCATGTGAAGGTCTATGTTCCTTTTTGAAATACATCCATACAATCTGGTTTAACCAGCACTTCAGGCAGCGAGTTCCACGCACTCACGACCCTCTGCGTGAAGTAGTTCCTCTTAAATGATCTGTTAAATCCCCTCATCGCTATCTTATATTTGTGTCCTCTGGTATATTTTTACAGCTGTAAAATGTTTCGAGACAAAGTCCTGATGTGAAAGTTGCTATATCAAATATAGTATGAATTATTTTCTTTTGTGATAGATCATTACTTCATTTCTTCTTGTCTTTCCCAACAAAATATGTCTCTTCTCCATACTGTACAGTACATAGAAACATAGGAATAGGAGTAGACCATTAAGCCCCTCAAGAGCCTGTTCCGCCACTCCAGTAGATCATAGCTGATCTGTGCTTCAACTCCATTGACCCACCTTTGCTGCATAATAAGTAAATTCTGCAAAATGTAAGGATTAAGAGTCCTGTTGATATTGGTAAGACCTGGATTTGATTCCCGGGCAGGGCGAAACATTAGACAAGTTAGACAAGTTTTGTTGCTCCGCAAGCCTCTGTTTACCTAGCAGTGAGTAGGAACCCAGTTGTTAGTCGATTGGCGGATCGCTTTTCCAAGGGTAATAATCCATCCAAAAAAAACTTAAATACATAAAAGTAATAATAATTTGGTCACTCAATCCATGACTGTTTGTGGGACACTGCACTGCTGTGCGCAATCGGCTGCCGCAGTCACTACACTACAGTGTACTCTGTGAAGCGCTTTGAGAAGTCTGAAAGCCGTGATAAGGGGCTGTATCAAACGCAAGAAATCTCACTATTAATATTATTATTGTTGTTACTGTCGTTACCTGGTGGCAAGCCCAGAAGGTCATGTAACTCTCCCATTTCCTCCTGTTCTCTGTTGAGTGCCTTTTCCTCAGCGGCTATGGCTCGGGCTCGGGCCTCAATGATATGTTTTTCAATCATGTCGACGTTTTCGATTTTCTCGTTGTACTCTTTACGAAGCTATTTGAAAGCAGCACCAAACATCATCAATTTGAAAGCATTAGCGCGCTGCACACCACTTTTTAAGGAGCGCTAAGTGGAAACCCTGCGCAAACCAGCTGTTTTAAAAACAACAGTTTTATTAACTACCGTGTGGAAACGTGTCCTTATACAGTACGGAAGGGATTCTCTGTTAGTGGCGCAATTAGTGGGACCGAAAAGTCGTGATAACGTTTATTTCGATATTGATTAAAAGAACAACAATAAACACCGGCAAGGACTGGCTGGGACGAGGAGCCCGTTTCCGTGCTGTACATTCTTTGTAAGACAAGATTTTCCATTGACACATCGGAAGCTCAGACGTTTCGAAGCACTTTGGTGCGTTTCAGAGATTAATGTTCCGTTACATTTGAGCTGATAAGAGCCACATGTTCTATATCAACGTACAAAATTGTTCTGCATCTCTCCCCCCTTCCCTGCCCCCTCCCTCCCCCCCACCCCCCCCCGCCCCCCAGCAATAAATCTAATGTAATTGAGTCATTGGATGGAATTTGAAGAGAATCTAATTTTTGAGTATTTGCATTTATGGCGTGATTGAGCCTCAGTCCCAGGGGAATGCAGTGAGTGCCCAGAAAAGCTGTGCGCTATAAAACGGGTTATTTTGCATAGGGAATATAAAAATAATAATAATAATAATAATACTTGCATTTGATACAACGCCTTATCACATCCAGACATCTCACAGCGCCTCACAGAATATACTGTAAAGTGGAGACTGTATATTTTGTGGACGAAACGTGGCAGCCAATTGCTCACAGCAGCGTCCCACAAACAGCCATGTAACCAAATTAGCATTATTTTTTCATATATTTTAATATATTTAATATATTTTTTGGAACAGATTGTTACCCCCGGAAAAGCGATCCGCCAATCGACTAACAACCGAGTTCCGACTCACTGCTCGGTAAACAGAGGCGTGTGGAGTAAGGAAACCTGCCCAATGTTTCGCCCCCTGCCCGGGGATCGAACCCAGGTCCTCTCGCTTGAGAGGCGAGGTCTCTAACCTCGACACTGCAGGACTCCACTATTATGTTTATTATCTCCTGTTCATTCTCTTTTTCAACCCCAGTTGAACCCCTTGGGGTTCTAACAACTTCCCTGACTACTCTACTACTGTAATAATAATCCTTGCATTTGATATTGATATTGTAATGTTGAAAGAACTGGGGCGGGGAGGATGGTTATGTTTTCCTTTTGCTGTTAAGTTCCTTTCCAGTTCTCTCTTGGTTTCCTTAATCTCTTTCTCAACACCTTTCTGTACAGTCTTGTTCAAACATTCCAGAGCTTCCCCCAGACTGGAGTGTCAGCCTTGAATGAGTTCAAATTCCAGAGGTGAGGCTTCACTCACTTCAGCAGCAAGAGACTCGCTTGCTCCCCAACCCACGAACCCACAGTCTCCGCTCAACTGGGTCCTGCCTGCTGCTTGTCCGGTCAAGGCCGGTCTCAAGACCTTTCTCTTTGACCATGCCTTCAGCTCCTCTCTCAACGTTCTACCCCCTCCTCGCTCCCTCCCTTCCCTCCCCTCACCCTGACCATCTCCCCCCTGCTCGGGTCCTGACCCAACTGTCCAACGCCTTGGGATGTCCTCCCGACGTGAAAGGCGCTCTATAAATGGAATCTTGTTGTTGTTGTTGTCCCTGGGGCCCTGCGTTCCACCATCGTGGGCCGCTCTTTCACCCCGAACACGCTCTCTCAAACCCTCTGCCTTTACCCATCTGAAGACCTTCCTCTTCGACCGTGCTTACGGTCACCTCCCCCCCACCTCCCTCCGGCTCGGCATCAGGCTCCGCCACCGTCAAGCGGTACCCTGTGAGAGTGGCGCAAGTCGTTGTTGTTATTCCACGTGGTGCTTGATGCAGGAGTTCCAGCACTACAGAAAATCTAAGAACCCCAGAGTGTGCCTTATACTCTGAAGTTCGGCAAGTGAGGTGCATTGCTCTGGGCAAAGGGACTCGGGGATGGAGTTCCAGAGAGCAGGGGCTGTAAGTCCGAGCGACGATGGTGGGGTGGTTAGGGCGGGGGGGACGTGATGCAGGTAACTATGTACTCAAGGTCCGTAGGAAAGCCAATACATCACAAAGGCAAAAAATGAGAATTCTTGTACCTTTTCCAGTTTTTGGACATATTTCTCGTGGAAGTCATCATCTCCGCCCTGTGACGTCACAAGGTAATCCACAATGTCTCTCCCTATCACATCTCCAGTGTAGTAGCCCTTGAAAATACTCGCCAGTAAATGAGAGATGTCCTAATTGGTGAAAGCACATTTTATGCGCAAAGTTATCGAAATGCAGTAGAAACACAAACTTGTTTGACAATTCTCTTTATTATTTTTATTATCTCAACAGGTGTCAGCCTAGCTCCGCACAAAACACTCTCGGCCTTGTCCTGGCCAATCCCCCAGATAAACTTCATGGCTTTGGCTGTGTACAAATTGGCTGTTGTATTCCTCTACAAAACACACAGTCACTACGCTTTATAATAAATCCTGTGAAGCGCTTTGAAACAAACTCCCCCCCCAATGTAAAAGATACTATAGTAAATGCAAGAATTCTTATTATTTACAGTGATAAAGCACTTGTTATGTCAGGAAGATATCTCACTTTGCCTCACACGGCTCACTGGGAGGTTTCTAAAAAGGGTTTTGAACGCGGAGAGCAAAGGTATATGGAGGTATTTCACGTCCAAAGAGTGGAGCAAAGCGGCTGAAAGATTGCACGTCCGCAAAAAACTGTACACGATAAGAATCCTTGCATTTGAGACGTCTCAAAACGCTTCACAGAATATACTTTAAATTGAATTGACTGTAAATTTTGTGGGTGAAACGCTGCAGCCAACCATTCACAGCAGTGTCCCACAAACAGTCGTGGACCAGATAATGTTTTTTTTGAAGGCATTATTACCCCCAGAAAAGCGATGGGCCAATCGACTAACAAGTGGGCTCCTACTTAGTGCTAGGCGCGTGAAGAAAATTTGCCAAACATTTTGCCCTGCCCGGGAATCAAACCCAAGCCCTCTAACCATTGAGCTGCAGGAATCCACAGTTCCCAAGGTAGAGCAGTACCTGGCTCAGTCGCTGCTGTAATTTTACCTGAGTTCGTTTGGAGGTTGGTCTGTGCCGATACATGACTGGTTCTGAGGGAGGGGTTTGGGTCCCAAGGGCATTTTCATAATATTCACAAACATCCTGTCAGGAATGCAGAAAGATACAAATTTAAATTCCTCCTCGAAGTCAAATAACAAACGCAGAAACAGCAATTTGCGGCGCAGAAGGAGGCCATTCAGCCCATCAAGTCAGTGCTACCTCACTGACTCGATGGGCTGAAAATGGCCATCAATTCGGTTTTTTATTCAGCCCATTTCCATCTCTTTTCCTTGATGGTTTTGGACCCTCCAAACCACCACCCTCCCTGCCCTCCACCCCTCCTGATCCCAACCCCCAGCTCGGGTGCAAATCTCTGACTCTTCAGCGCCTTGGGACATCCTCCCGACATGAAAGGTAAATGTCATCTGTTGTTTACCGCTCACGTGTTTAGGCCTTCGAATAATTCTATTGATCAGACCTCAATAGTCATTTGTGAGATTGAATGCAAAACGCTAACGATTCCTTCCAACCTCTTCTTCCGCTATTTCTTCCACTAAGAATCCTGAGATTATGCTTTCTTGTGATTGATCCCCTGTTCACCTTTTCATGCCCCTTCAGAATCTCAAAGACCTCTAGAATAACCCCCTCACTCTCCTCTGCTCCAGTGAAAAACATCCCAAATTAGCGAATCTCTCCACATGCATATTTCCTCATAGCTGGGTTTATCCGAGTGAACACACGGCTAAATTTGACAGTACTTCATTGAAGAATCTAGGACATTATGGCGTTTTTTTTTTGTTTTGATCAGCTTGGGTGAATGACACATGCGGAAACCCATCACCGTTGCTTAAGAATATCCAAGCCAAGCTGAGAATTCCCTGCATCCCACCTACACATGGAAATCCCAGAGAGATAGTTGGAATGGAATGTGCACTAGCTTGTCTGATTGTCGCCCATAGCGCCCAAGGGCCTTCTTTATCCAAACCAATCTTGTGATCCTCGTTGAAATCAACCAAGACAAACAAAAAATTACTGTTATGAAACGTTAGGACTAACTCAAATGCAAATACCCGAAAGCAACACGGATATGTTAGCCGCCAACATTCATTTTGGACGTTAAAATCAGACTGATCTCCCCTTCCGTTCGATTGAAACTGTTTGTTTGGATATACAGCCTCACGCAATGCGGGCTATTCTGCCGTGTGAGCTGTCATTCAGTAAGCATGTTGCTATGAGCGAAGTACTGTTGTGCTGTGTCCCTGGGTCACTGGTTTCGGTCAGTAGATAAGCATCCTTATCTCTGCCTCACAAGGCTGTGGGTTCGAAACCCTCATAATATACAATGACACTTAGAAATAAGCAATAATTACAAACACCAATAATTACATTATAAGTGGCAAAATTAAATTACACATATGAGATTGAGTTAGTTGTTTATAACGATACAGGGGACAACTTACTGAACAAAACAGGTCAGCCCTAAAACCACAAGTTTGCCAGATCACGAGATAGTTTCAGAAGTGTCAGATGAAGTCCTGTTTCCTTTCGGAATACCAAAACCTACCGTCTCGTGTTCTCGCCTCAGCTGTGGGCAGGAGGATGGTGGCGATGCTCTCACGCATTTCATGCTGAGCTGTGTTGCCTACCAGGAGGCTACTGCTCGTGGGACAATGCTGTGCGTAATTGGCTGCCGTGTTTCTCCCACCCTTTCAAACTCCATCCCAATCCCTATGTCTGCCCTCCCCACCCCCCACCACCCCACTCCCTTCCCCTTCGACTGCGCCATCGTTCACCCTCTTACCCCCTACCCTCCTTGCCCTCCACCCCTCCTGAACCCAACCCCCCAGCTCGGGTCTAAGCCCCTGACTGTCCAGCGCCTTGGGACGTCCTCGTGAAAGGGGAGGCTTGGGATTCTGGAAGGTTGAGATCACGTGAGCCAAATGCTCTTCTTCATTTGAACCTTCTTTGACGACGGGACAAGGAGGAGGAGGTGGGGGGTGGGGGGTGGGGTGGGAGGAGGGGGGGGGGAGGAGAGGGAGAGTTCTAATCTTTTCTAACTAAGTGTTGTTAATATTTTGAAAAGTTCACACAATGACACCATGACCTGAGGGGCTTCTCTCCAGTCACCATCGGCGGAGCGATTTGGCTCTGGGGCCCGACAACCAACCAGGGGGAAAAAAATAACCATGACCTTGCTTTAGCTCGCTCACACTCACACTCACACACACTCACACACACTCACTCACTCACACACACTCACACTCACACACACTCACTCACACACTCACACTCACACACACTCTCAACAAGATTCCAGGTTGATCTTTTTTCCCTCTCTCTCTCTCTCTCTTTCGCTCTCTCTCCCCACTGCCGTTCATAGACTATTTGAGCGAAACAAGTTGGTTGGCATTTTACATCAGGCTTTGAAGAGGACGGTTCGTCGAAGGTATCTTCGTTGGGCTGTGGTTCGAGATTTGCGCCGGCGTTCTGGAGAGACGGCTTTTCATCATTTTGCACCGCGTCTTCGCTCATTTCACGAACACCCGATTGGGAATCTAAGGAAAAGAAATTGATTCTGATCGGTAAATAAAGTCGGCCCTTTATATTCCATGGAAGAAAAATTTCTTTATTTTTCCCCTCGACTGGCTCCATCCGGCCTCCTGCGCGTGCCTCGCGCCCTCCGCTCCACCATCATTGGAGGAGGAGGGGGGGGGGTCGGGCTCTCAGCCACTACGCCCCGAAACTCTGGAACTCTCTCCCTCAATCCCTCCGCCTCGCCCCCACCCCCAAACACCCCTCTCCAACCCTCTTTCAAGTCCCGCCTGAAGACTTTCCATGCTTACCCTCCCTCGCTCCCTCCCTCCCTCCCTCCTCCCACCCGCCGCTCGGAGTCGGGCTCCGCCACTGTGGAGCGCTCTGAGGCGCTGCCCTGCCTCGAGGGCGCGAGGTATGTGCAAGTTGTCGTCGTCGGCATCGCCGGCGGTTAAAAAGAGTCTCCAAACCCGACTGAGAATTCCCTGCATCCACCTACTTACCTCCCAACCACCCATTGAGCACGTCCGCCCATCCTTCACCATGGATGCACATACCTCACGCGCGCGCACCTCTATGTCGCGCACGCAGACGTGCGTACACGCGCGGGCACGCACCCTGCGTTTCTGGCTCTCACCCCCCCCCCCCCACCACCCCACACTCTTGATTCACAGCAACTCAAGAACAAGATCCTGGTGAAGGGGAAGAGGCTGAACAGGCTGGAGGAGGTGACGGAGAGCGAGGACGTGAGCGACGAGGTGTCTGACGAGGACGAGGCAGCGGAAATGGAGAACGAAGCAGTCACCAAGAAAGCGGGGAGCAAGGTGGGTCTGAGGGCCAGAGAGAAACCCCCCCACCCCCCCAGCCGGTGAGAGGGGTGGGGGGGGGGACGCGTGAGACTCTCAAAGCGCTTCACAGGATACGCTGCAAAGTGGAGTGACTGCGTATTTTGTGGGCGAAACGCGGCAGCCGATTGCGCACAGCAGCGTCCCCCGCAAACAGCCGTGGGTTGAGTGACCAAATTCTTATTAATATATACCTTTTTGAAGGGGTTATTACTCCCACCCCCCACCCCTCCCCCCACCCACCACCCCCACCCCCAGGAAAGCGATCCTCCATTTGACGAACAACCGGGTTCCTACTTACTGTTGGGTCAACAGAGGCTCGTGTGTGTGTGTGTGCGTGTGCGTGTGTGCGCGTGTGTGTGTGCGTGTGCGTGTGTGCGCGTGTGTGTGTGCGCGCCCGCGCGCGGAGTAACGAAACTTGACGAACGTCTCACCCTGACCAGCCCGGCCGGGAGTCGAACCCGGGTCCTCTCGCTCGCGAGGCGAGGGCTGAGCTACAGGGACGCCACAAAAATACCCTCAAGCGCGGTGATGGGGCTCCGGCACGTGTCAGACACCTGGCTGAGGAAACAAAAGTCAGGTGAGCTCGAACGGTTCAGGATAGACTAAATTTAACATCTCGGTATGTTCCTACCCCCCCCACTCCCCACCCCCCTCCTCCCCACCCCTCTCCCCACCCCCTCCTCCCCACCCCCTCCTCCCCACCCCCTCCTCCTCACCCCCTCCCACCAACCAACCAACTTTAGATAAAGTTGTCCAAAGAGCTGTCGGATCTCGTGATCTATTGTCGTAGTGTGCACTTCACCGATTTCGAGCATTCCAAGGCTCACCAGGTCTTCTACGAGATGTCTTCCTTTGTGGAGGGAAAGTTCTCTAAACTGGTCCAGGACTCAGGTACGTCATCACCTGTACGTCACTCGCCTCACCTGTACGTCACTCGCCTCACCTGTACGTCACTCGCCTGTACATCAGTCGACTTACCTGTTCATCACATCACTCACCTGTACATCACATCACTCCTCACCTGTAACCTCACCTGTACATCACTCACCTCACCTGTACATTGCTCTCTACTCTGTACATTACTCTGTATGTTATTCTGTGGGGAGCGTATATTATGGAAGAATTAAACAGAATGAGGGGCCTTTGTCACTCGTATCTTCGAACCTCTCTTGTGATCCTTATGAATCGTGGCTTTGTTATTGAACCCCCACCTTCCTCCCAAACCCCCCCCTCCCTCCCTAACCCTCCACTCCCTCCCTAACCCCCCCCCCCCTCCCCCCCGCCTCCCATCGCTGTTTCCGTACAGACAATCCCTTCATTCATCTCAACGCCCGGCAACTGAGCCGAATCTATCCCGCCGGGTTACGGACTGACTCGTCCAACTACAGCCCCATAGAAATGTGGAACGCAGGCTGTCAGCTTGGTAAGCTCTGACTCCTCTTTGTCCTTGTGGAGGGAGGGAGGGGGGGAGGGAGGGAGGGAGGGGGGGACGGAGGGAGGGAGTCAAGGGATATGGGGCAAAGGTGGGTAATTGGAGTTGAGATACAGATCAGTCGTGGTCTAATAGAATGGCGGAACAGGCTCGAGGGGCTGAATGGCCACCTCCTGTTCCTACGTTGCTGATGTAATGGGCCAATGATGCGACGGCTCCTGTTGTCCACAGTGGCCTTGAACTTCCAGACCCCATCGGAAGAGATGGACATCTATCAGGGAAAGTTCCGGCAGAATGGCTTCTCTGGCTACGTTTTGAAGCCAAAGTTTCTGAGGGACAAGAGCACAACGTTCGACTCCAAGAACCTCAGACATGGGGAGTGGTTGACGCCAATGAAGCTGCACGTGATGGTAAGAGAAAGCAGGCGAGAGGACCCGGGTTCGATTCCCGGTCGGGGCGAAAGCTTAGGCAAGGCTCCCTGCCCTTCCTGATCCCAACCCCCAGCTCGGGTCGAAATCCCTGACTGTCCAGCGCCTTGGGATGTCCTCACGATGCGAAAGGCGCCGGGTAAATATAATTTGTTGTTGTGTTGCTGAGGACAGGTAATGTCAGGGGGAAGGTGCAACAGGAAGGTCTTCAAACACAACCTGGAAATTGGGGAGAGGGTGGGAGGAGGGGGGGTCAAGGCAAAGGGGGATTGAGGGAGAGAGTTCCAGAGCTTCGGGGCGTAGTGGCTGAATGGCCTCCTCCTATGTTCCCATGTCCTTCTGCGTCCACAGGTCATCTCAGCACAGCAGCTCCCGAAGGACAAAAAGAGGTCCAGCTCCGTCATTGACCCCCTGGTGACGGTGGAGGTGTTTGGTGTGGCTCAGGACAACGCCAAGAGGGTAACAGACCACATCCCTAACAATGGTAACTCGCACTCGCTCACACACTCACTCACACACACCGTATCCCTTACGATGGAACTCACACTCACACGCATTCACACACACTCGCTCACACACAACACACACACACACACACTTACAATCATAGCCCCAACAACAGTAACTCACACTCGCTCACACACTCACACTCACACACACACCACATCCCCAACAACAGTAACTCACACTCGCTCACACACACACACACATCCCCAACAACAGTAACTCACACTCGCTCACACACACACACCACATCCCCAACAACAGTAACTCACACTCGCTCACACACTTACACACACACCACATCCCCAACAACAGTAACTCACACTCGCTCACACACACACACCACATCCCCAACAACAGTAACTCACACTCGCTCACACACTTACACACACACCACATCCCCAACAACAGTAACTCACACTCACTCACACACTCACACACACACACCACATCCCCAACAACAGTAACTCACACTCACACACTCACACACACACACCACATCCCCAACAACAGTAACTCACACTCACACACTCACACACACACCACATCCCCAACAACAGTAACTCACACTCGCTCACACACTCACACACACACCACATCCCCAACAACAGTAACTCACACTCGCTCACACACACACACACACACACACCACATCCCCAACAACAGTAACTCACACTCGCTCACACACTCACACACACACCACATCCCCAACAACAGTAACTCACACTCGCTCACACACACACACACACACACACACCACATCCCCAACAACAGTAACTCACACTCGCTCACACACTCTCGATGCTCTAAACCACTTACCCCCTCCGCCCCCTCTCCCCCGCCCCCCCCCCCCTCCGCCCCCTCTGGGTTTCAGGGCTTAAGCCGATGTGGAACTCGAACTTTGAGTTTGATGTGAGTGTGCCCGAGCTCACACTGATCCGCTTCCTGGTGGAGGACTACGACGCCTCATCCAGAAACGACTTCATTGGACAGTTCACACTTCCCGTTACAAGCCTGAAACTGGGTCAGTGTCTGTGGGTGTGGGTGGGGGGGTCAGTGTGTGTGTGTGTGTCTGTGTGTGTGTGTGTCGTGTGTGTGTGTGTCCCTCGCCCCCGGCTCCACTGGCTCCCCATCCCCCAGTGGATAGAGTTCCAAATCTTCGACCCCACCTTCAAAGCCCCCCCACGGCCTTCCTCCCTCTCCCTACCTCTGTGACCCTCTAACCCCATATCAACACACACTCCGTCAAGGCACGTCTCGAGACCCTCTTCTTCGACCAGGTCTTCAGTCACCACCCTCCCCGCCCCCCACCCCGCCCTCCTGATCCCAACCCTCGGCTCGGGTCCAATTCCCTGACTGTCCAGCGCCTCGGGACGTCCTCCTGATGTGAAAGGCGGGCGCTGCGTAAATGTAACTTGCTGTTGTTGTTGCTGAGCTCCTCACCCTGTCCTGTTCCAGGTTACCGACACATCCACCTGCTGACAAAAGAAGGAAACCCACTTCCCTCCGCCTCTCTCTTTGTCCATATCATGGTCCTGGAAAATTGATGGAGCCTTCGAGACATCAGCAGATTAGACCTCACACTCCGAGCCAAGAGAGGAGCAGGAAGAGTCGGACAAACAGACCTCGAGTTTTCCCTTCTCCCTCCCTCCCTGTCTCCCTCCCACCCCCACGCCCCAAAAAACAGACCAATGAGACCTTCCTCTCCCTCTCGCTGTGACTCTGGGGATCAGTGGCTGCAGGTTCTTTGCTGAAAGTTTTTTTTTGTTACTGTACGTTTCTCACCCGAATGTTTTACCTTAACATTAAAGCGGTGAAACGCCTCAGGCCATTCACCCACACAGGACAGAGCACATGAATGACTGCTGCACTCCCTTCCCCACGTGGCTCACTGTCCTGGTGTATCCATTTTAATTAAAGATGATCTAAATCGCCCTGTGCCTGTGTACGTGTGTCTGTGTGTGCGTGTGTGTGTGTGTGCGCGTGTGTATATGTCTATGTGTTTCCGTGTGAGTGAGTGTCTCTGTGTCTGTGTGTATAAGTAATAATAATCCTCGCATTTGATGCAGCGCCTTATCACATCTTCGAGACGTCTCAAAGCGGTTCACAGGATACACTGTAAAGTGGAGTGACTGTGTGTTTTGTGGGCAAAATACAGCAGCCAATTGCGTGCAGAGGTGTCCCACAAACAGTCGTGGATTGAGTCACTACAT